ACTTTCAAGCCGCGTGGGCTCACGCGCAATCTGCTCGGGGTATAGTTGCTCAGAACTTTGTCTTCCGCCGTGTTGGATTCTGTATCATGAAGGGTATTGCGCGACAACTTGTCGGTCGTCGTCGTTTGGGGGATCCTATTTGGGGTCTATGAATTTAGAGGTGCTGCTTTTTGGTGTAGATTATTGCTATAGATCGCTTTAAAATACATTTTTTGCATCACTCGAAAAAAAAAAATGTCGCAAAGAGTTCAAAAATTTGATTCCACGGCCGGGAATTGAACCCGGGCCACATCGGTGAGAGCGATGCATACTAACCACTGTACGACCATGGAAAATTTCTCTTTTGAGATGTAGGATTCAACTTTCGCTTAAGTGTTCGCCGACACATCCCTTTTTAAATTACAAAAAATTGGCGCCTGCGGAATTGACATTAATTAAGGAGAATCCTACACACGCGGATTGAGCCAACATACTAATATATTTAGCCTAGGCTCCAAGACAATATGCACTTGCATAAGACACAGAAGAGTCACGCTCATCAGCCACCTTGCTCGACTGTGCGTAATATATAAACTTGATTTCAGGACCAGCAGCATCCTTCTTGCCAGTCTTGTTACTAGCAGCAGATGAGGATGATGAGGGTGTCACAGCAGTGAATGCAGTTACGACTGCATTAATCAACACTCCAATCGGATGCCTTCCACATATTGTATTCCTGGTCTTCTTGAGGTAGGACGCAAACTTGGCTACATCCAAGGATTCGATGCAAGTCATGCCTTCTCGATCCAGAGCCTCGATGGAAGAGTGTATGGGTGATGGGACAGATGCGTGGCGATACGTATATGTAAACCTAAGATGAGAAGTTTTTGAGTTGGTATCTTGATTGTGTTGCTGGAATACACTGCCATGGGAGTTATCGGCGACTTATACGGACCTTTGACCCCAGTGACAGAAATCCGAAGAGACAACAAAGAAATTGCCTGGTTGTGACAGATATGGAGCCAAGAGTTTGCCATATAAAGCTTCTTTGGCTGTACTTATTCCTCCGACGAGAATTGGAACGATCGTGTATGGCCCATTGGTTTTTCTGAATAGTTTGAGTGTGTTGAGGACGTGACTTTTTGCAGCAAAGACCCATTGGGCGCAGATGAGCTTAAAGATTACCCCTCCATGACTTTGTATATATACGGCAAGTGCATCTCGATGCTATGTTCATCCTCGTCAACATCCACGTCCATATCTTCAAAGTGGCCAGTTTCCTTTAGAGCGGTAACAGCTACGAGGTAGAATTTGTATCAGTGTCACAGCCTGCGTTGCTTTCAACATGTTCACATTCATACTATCAGAATCTATCTTTAGCGTGCCCAATGGTGTTTCATAGCTCTCGCATTTGGACAGGGCACAACCGTCTAGATATACATGGTGACTTGGTCTGTAACAAAGGTTCAAAGTTTCAGCTCATAGATCACTCAAGAAGAACTCGAAGAACCAGTTTACCCCAAAATAAAGATACGATTTCTACATCATGAAAGTTTTGTGTTTAGTTTGTGACATTGCGAGTGCCCTTTGCAGCAAACGAATAGCACCTACATTGAATCTGGATCCATGCACTTGTAAGCATAGGCAGCAGCTTGTCCACTATACGAATATCCAGCGTGGCTATTCGAGAATGTCAGCTTTAGTCAAGTGATTTGCGGTGGGATGACAATCTTGACACTGTTCTCCATATTTCGTCTTACGGGGCGATGATAGCCTTAGCATTTGATACAGGCAGCGGACATGAAGCTAATGATCCAGCCTCTGGAGTTGTCGGAACCTCGTCCAGCCAAGCGTTGAGTTCCTTTGATAATCGACCTCCTATGATAACCATGCGTTGATGCCAAATTCAGCCAAGGAAAATGAAGAGATATTTGCTTGCCTTGCTTCGAATACCAGGAGCCTGCGTGGGACGCTCGTCGTATCATCGTTTTGGTTTTCAAAATCACGAACGAGTGATTTCGAAATCACAGGACGAAGGAACTCCTTATCGCGACCCTCGTGGTGATTATAGCTATAAATACGCGTTGGTTTGAAGATTTGGTCAAGAAAACACGTTCCGAGGTCGTTGTCAGGAGTCTTGAGCGAGTTGAACTTTTAATGAATGCTTTCCACATTAAGGCTCAAGCTTGACCTCTACGCAGATACCTCTGTCAATGGCTACTCACGGGCAGTAGAATTCTAACCAAATCTGAACTTGACCGGTGTCTCTCTTCTCTCAAGCATCACAGAGAGACCACCTCAGACACATTTGGGAAATCACAATGTCAAATACCTTGGGAAGTGTTTTTGGATATCTGAAGAGCATGTAAGACGCTGTCATATCCTTGTTCTTGTCGCTATGTGTCTGACTCTCCATTATATTTACCAAAACAGAGAGAACGAAATCAATCAAAACCTGAAGGCCAGCAACAGTGATGAGTCTTCACCATCACGTAACTCTACAGCTTCACTCTCTGTGTCAAATGATTCCAAACTATTAGATGAGTTGAATGCCTATAGGGAAATGGTCGAAAAGATGCGATCTGATCAAGTCAAAGTAACTAATAGTTGATTTTTACACACAGTTTTTGGTCAATTCTGACTTTTTCAAAACATCTTTTGCTCTAGTCTGCTGAAAATATTGCTACTATGCAGCGCTCCTTGCAAGCTGCCAACCAAAAGGCTCAGCTATTGGAGCAAGAGCAAGCTAAAACGTCTGAATTGGAAAAGAACTTGAACCAGCTGAGACTCAAGGGTATGATCATTGAGAAGGTAGTATAGTGATGTCAATAACTGACATTAGAGTACCTCTAGCAAAGCTGAAGATTACAGAGATGAACAAGGAAATCGAGAGCTTAAAGGCCAAAAATACTAGCCTCAACAGTGCCACTACCAATGGCGATAATAGTATACTGATCAAAAACGAACTGGATACTCTCAAGGCAGAGTATGCTGCTGCTCAGGCTACAATAACAGATCTAAACAGTCGACTGGCCTCCTCTACCTCGGCTCTTCCTCCATTCGACGAAGCTGCACAGGATCAGATAGAAGAGCTTCAAACCCAGTTATCTGAAGCTCTGCAATCAGTAGAAGCTGTAGAAAAAGAGAAACGAAATTTTGCAGCTAGGATTGTCGAACTCGAAGATCAGAGTCAAAATAATGTGTCCGAACTTGAAGCAGAGCTTGCTCAATATAAACAGATGGTGCAGGCACAATCTGCAGATTTGGAAGAATTACGCGAAAAGGCCAATCATGCCGAAAATATTGACATAGAAGCTGCCAAGTATCGTAATTCCTTGGATCAGCTAGAAGCTGCACATCGCCAGACTTTAGAAGAACATCGTAAAACTACAGAAGAACAAGGGTTGAAGCATCGTGAAGCACTTGATAAACAGGAAGCCACGTATCGCACTGCTTTGGAAGAATCGTCCGCTGGCTCGTCAGATACGTGGCGAAACATGTTGGAAGCCAAAGAGAAGGAGTTTGCTTTGCTAAGTCAAGGATTCGAAGAGCAAATCAAGACTCTACAGGAACGGCTACATAAGGATCAGCAGTCAAGAGATGTAGAAATCAGCAAGGCTCAACAAGAGCTGTTACAAAAGTTGGATGATGAACGAGATTACACACAAAGCGAAATCGTGGCTCTAAAACGTGCTCATGAAACCGAGAGGGACAGTTTAGCAGGCCAATTGAGAGAAGCTACCAGCACATTGAAAGCAGTAGATGATGGTACTGCCTATGCCAATAGAATAGACGAACTGACTAATCTGCTCGAAGAGGCTCAAAAGCGCTTCTCTGAAAAGGACGCACTTTGTCAAGAGCTAGAGTCTAGACTGAATAGTATGAGCAGCGTCAGCAAAGAAAAAGACGAGCTGGCCGCTCATCTTGAATCTCTACGTAAAACATTGAGTCGTCAGGAAGAAGAGACTGCTCGTATTGTTCAGGGTTTGGAGAAGTCCTTGAGCGATAAACAAACTGAACTCTCCAAGGTTCAGACTGAAGCTGCTCGTTTACAGTCTGAATCTTCCAAGCAACAACCTGTAAATCTCGAGAATGGGCAGCTTGGTGATAAATTATTTGTGTTTCAAGAGCAGGTATCATGACTATTGTGCGGAGTGGTAATTTGGTTTCGTAAGTGAGTCTAACATTTAAATGATGGTGTTAGGTCAAAGATGGGCAAATCCAGTTGGCGTCCAAACAAGCCGAAGTAGCTTCAATAACGGAGCAGCTGCAACAAAAGACTGGTAAGATCCAATGAAGATTCCGACTCGAGGCGTTTCTGGGTTGTCTCACACATGAACTACTAGATGAACTAGAAAAAACGAAACAGGATACTGATGATCGTATCAAGAAGATGAAAGGTACGCTACAGAGATACACGCAAGAAAGAACCAATTACACGTTATTCACATAATTACTTGGTTTAGGAATCATGGCTGCAGCAAACAAGAGTATTTCAGATAATAGAGCCAATATTGGCAAGAAAGAGGCGGAGATTGCTGAATTGAAATCACAGCTAGAATTGGTACATCAGTCCAAACAAGAAGAGCTTTTGCAGATTGATAACCTCAAAGGCATAGATTTCGCGATTGTGCTGCTTGGCGATAGACCTATCATTGATGCTTTTTTTGTCACATTGTAGCTACTGTGAATCAAATGTCTGGCGAGATACAAGATGAGAGACAGCTCAGGAGGTCTCAAGTGGATGAATTGGTAAAGTCTTCAACACCAACCAACCAATACGTGATGTCCAGTGGTAACTTTTCTTTTTGCTGATATAGGAACGGCAGCTTCGTCAAACCAGACAAGAAGTATCTGATACCAAATCTGAATTCTCCAGCTACAAGATAAAAGCAGCTGCAGCATTACAAAAGAATAGCTCGACTTTGGCCGAGTCTCGCATACGAGAATTGGAAGACACTATCGCCAAGTTGGAGAGAGACAAGATGGATTCTGCACGTGAAGCAGAGACTTTACGTGGCCGTATCAAGCATTCAGAGTCAGAGTTGGATGAAGCTACAAATCAAATGGCAGTCTTTGAGTCTCAAATACTTAAATTGGAACTTACTGCTCGTGAAGTTGTATCGCTCAAGCACCAACTAGGTATGAAACGTCTTGTCATATCGGTTGTTGCATTCATTGATTGGCCTTCATGTGTACTAGATGCTGTCAATAGAAGGATTGAGCTTGATAAGGAAGCTCACGACGAAGGTACCTTTACGCACACCATTGTGTTTTTTTGTTTGCAATACTGTGACTGTCTTTTTCATTCTTAGCCCTCAAAGTCAAGGACTCTATACACGCCAATACTATAGAATCGGTTCGAGCAGAAGCACGACGAGCCATGCACGAAACCGACGAAGCCATTCGTCGTAAAGAAGAAGAAATGTCTTCTTTACAAGCAATAGCAGAACGATTATCATCCGAATTATCCAGCGCTCGTGATGACTTGACTCGTACCAGAGCAGACCTAGAACGATTACGACAAGTAGCAGCTAGCGCAACAACCAAATCAACATTGAGCGCTGATGATGTTAATCGTAGGATGAGTGTTGACACTCATTTTGTCGATGGACGACCTGCTGCTGCTTCTTCTTTACACGGAGATGGATCTGTCAATGGTGGTGCTGGAGTATCAGCTCAGAGATCATTCATACGACATAGTCAATCACAAACAAAATTCGAGGACTTGTTGTCTGTTGATGATAGGCTGCCTAGTAGTGCGTATCCTGGGACTCCCACGACTGCTGCATCGAGTATGCGAGACAAAGAATATTTGGCTCAGATTAAGGCATTGTCTGATATGGTCGATGAGAGTGAGACTACAATACAGAGATTGATTGAGCAAGAAAAGGTATGACGCAAAAAATGTGTAACTGTGCCGAAATGCTTTGGTCGCGCAAAGCTGACTTGGTTTTAACCACTAGATATTGAAGGAGGAGATTCGAAAGACTGAACGAGAACAAAGTCGTAGTAAAGATCTCAGTACTGAATATCTGAAGAACGTCGTTCTGTCGTTTATTGAAGCTACTGATCGCAGTGTGAGTAACAGCAGTTCACAGAAATGCAAACGTTACACGATTCAACACACGATCTAAAAATCTCGCTTTCTTTAGAATATGGTGCCAATCGTATCGCAAATGTTGCATCTTTCTCCTGAAGAACGGGAAAGGTTGAGCAAGGCAGCTGCCAGAGCTACTGTCGTCCCTACAGATCCATTGAGCTTGTCCTTTGGATGGGGTTGAACTCTGCAGGTCCGTGTAAAGATAGAATATATAAGTAATTTTCAATGTCGCATGAATGTGCTTGCTTTTTCAGCTTGTTCGATATGTCCATATTTTTTGCGGACAGCAATTCGGTACGCTGAACTTTGTTCGAGCCATATAACTTTGAAAATGAAGGCAGCAATAAATATCTAGAATGAGAGCCACCACAAAACACGCTAACTATGCAACGATTAAGGACTACTGAAGCATTTGGCTGTGTTGAGCACTATTGCCGTCTTTTGGTCGGCTTGTCTGACGGTCTTTTGCTCTTTCCCTCTTTCCTTCATCAGACACAAAGCTTCATTGAAATACCTCCACAACGGAGAGAGCTCCATTAATATTCTGACTCGGTCAACTCGAACGTTTTCGGGCTAGTAAGCAACTGAAGCTTCGACACTCCTTCATCTCCACATTACTTACGCCTTCTTACCTAGTCGAAAGCTTTTCGGTGGCCAACAACCGAAATTCAATACCCATCCGCAAGCATCTTCATCCTGAAAGAAGGTCCATAATGAGGAACAGAGAGAGGCTACGGCCCATATTAGGTCTCCTTGCAGTGCTTGCATGTCCCGCCACCCTAGTTTCAGCACAATCTTGCTTCACACTGAGTGCGAATTCAGTTTGTGGAAGTGCTTATGCTGGTTACGCTGTTGCTGCAGACAGCACATACTTTAAGGATGAATCTAGCTTCAACAATTACTTTGCTACACAGTTTCAATCTTGTGAGTTGGATGCCGGAGACTGAATTTTTCTTTGAATGAGCTTTTTGGGGGGTGGAAGGAAAGCCGTGATGGCACAAGTCATGTTGGAAAGCTTGCCTGTACTTGAAGCCATACTGTCATCTTGATTGCTTGCACCTTCCCTTGTTTTGCTAACATCAACTCCAACATAGCGTCCAACATTGCAAATTCCCTAGTATCCCAAATGGGCTGCTCAGCGAACACAGTATACTTTAGAGCAGACGTCCCACTATACTTGGTCTCATTCTGGTGCTATGCAACCCTCCACGACTCATGGGCTGGCGCTTGCCAAGCGTCATCAGTGGCTCCAGCAGGAACAACATTCCCAGCCGGTGGACCCGCGCTCTGTTCAGCACACTGTGCAGCTGCATATGGATCGTATATTCAGGCATTCATGGATACAAATGCGTGTCCTGCTGTTGCTGCCGGCACTCAGTCATATGCTAATAGACAGGCGCTTTTGAATAATATGATTTCGTACTGTAATCGAACGCAGACGCTCACTGCTATTAATAGTGGTTCGTGTATTCAGGGGACTGTACCTGAGGTTGCTGCTTGTGGTGAGTGTCGCACCATCAAACTCTCATATACTGCATTTTTTTGAGATTGCCAGCTAAACTGTTCCTCACATACAGGTTACCGTGACTTATACACAGCTACCCAATACTGTAAATTCATGGCCGATCAACCATGCTGTGCCGGTATTCTCGCCGGAGTCGCTAATGGAACTATTACTGCAAGTCCGCCGTCAGCTGGCAGTCCGATTCTAAATTGGATTATCACCAACAAGTTCATTGTCATTGGTGCCGGTGCTGGTGTGATAGTCGTAGTAATAGCTGTTATCGCCACTTGCGTTATTTGGAGCAGGAGGAGTGCTGCCAGGAAGCGTGCTTTGAACGTTCAGGTGACCATGATTACAGTTCATTATCGACGTTTTTTTCTCATATTAAATTCTTTCCAGGGAGGATACGGTGAACGTGACGAAGACGCAGACTTTGACACAATGGATAAGAAGAATGGCCTAAAAACTGACTCTATTGGCTACGGAGACCAAAAAATGGATGCCTACAACAACCAATTCAACCAATTCAATAATAGCGCCATGATGGATAAACAAGGCTACAATAATAAGCGTGGTGCATCGCCTCCTAATGACAATGGAAGACAAAAGAATGGACGACCTACTACGCCACCAAATGGACGCGGATCACCACAAAGTGGTAGAGGGGCAGGATCACCGCGTGGTGGTGCAGGAGGAGATCGACAAGTTGTCCGAGTTATTCATCCATATAATTCTAGTCTTGCTGATGAATTGACGCTTGTGCCTGGTCAAGACATCTATATTGTTAAGAACTTTGATGATGGGTGAGTTGTCCATACATCATGCGATCCGTCAACATGTCTTTTGCTCGGTACTTATTAATTTATTTTCTAATAGTTGGGCATTGGGTTACAATCCAAACACTGGCCGACAAGGTGCATTCCCAATGGTCTGCGTTGCCAATCCAGACGAATATGGTGCTGGTGCCATTAGACAGCCTGGAGCTGCTATGCATGCCGGAGCACCATATGGCAATCCAGCTGCTCCTAAACGTGTTTCGTCGCAAGTGTACTCGCCTGCCGATATGGGTAGATATTCGGAATACGAGGATGATTACGATAGTGTAAGGATAGCTCTCGTTGTATGCAGTTACTTTGCTGATATGTTGTACTGACTCCTATTATGTTTCATAGCGCCGAGAAACACAATACACGGAGGGCACTGAGGCCTCAGATTACTACTACAACAAACAAGGAGGTGGTGGTGGTGGATATGGATATCAACAACAGCAGCAGCCGCAAGGATACGCTCAGGGAGGATATGGTCAACAAGGTGGATATGGAGGACAACAACAGCAGCAAGGTTATGGCAACCAAGGCTATAACAACAATCAATACTACCGTTAATTGAGTCGACCCAATCTCAGAAGACAAAAGAGGTGTCTCCACAGAAACAATATGTATAGAAAATCGGGTGTTGGTGGTGTATCATATTTGGCAAATTGTTTTTCTTGATTCCCCTTGTCTTTCATGAGCTTTTTCTCTTATTTTTTTTAAACGCTGGTATCGTTTGGAAGGCTGCTGCTTATTACAAGGCCCCCCTCATATAAGACGATGTATTTGATGAGATTGATTCACTTTTGTTACCTAAACCAAATATATTTCTTACACCGTATTCTTCTCAAGTGTTTGTTACTAGTATACAGAAAAATCACTCTTGTACCCACATGCGATCTTTCGTCGTTGGAGCAAATTGCTACCGAAAAAAGCTTCAAACGAGATGTGAACTCGTGTCGCATCGAACTAAACATATATGGTATGGCAACGATGCGTGATACCCCTACACCATTGAAGCGCGTCATCGTTGTGTGGTGATTCGTCCAGATGGGCTAATACAGCACAGAAACGTCACTGACCTGTCAAAGAAGCAAGGATGGAGTTCAATGTCCCACAATCAGATGTAATTCATGCACTTTCTTGTATATCTCGCCATGTTTCGCTGCTTGTAATCATGAGAAATCAAACAAAAAAACTGGATCTGACCACACATCTGAACTAGACCTAGATTGGCATGATCTTTCGATGGACTGTTGTATTTGCGCTCTCATGCAAGTCGGAGCTGAATGTGTGATATTGAAGGCGTGTGTTATGCTCTTGGATCAGGTATTCATCTGTCACTACGTGAAGCACTTCTTTCAAGATAGAATTGGTTAAACTAAAATACGTCGATCTTGTGTTTTATCTTATTGAGAATCGCCGGGAGGATGTCGCCGCTGATGTCATATCAACTTTGTTGGTTTCGCCAAAACTTTTGTGGTCAATTTTCAATCGAGCTGATGAGCTCATAGCAGCAATCTCCTTAGTCAGCAAGATTTCATCAAATTCAAAGTCTCCTAGCTCTTATTATCCAGCACGTAACAAGGATGGACATCGCAACAATGCACATCGGTGATAGATGTTTGAAGACGAGAGGCACATATGCAAATGAGTTGAAACCCAAAGTACTGTGGACACCAAAGTATGATCCTACGGAGTCTTCAGCAAACCAGTGAATGTGTGACGTGACCGACAAAAACAACGAACTACTCTTCTTGTCTGGATTTGTGCTCGCACAACTACGGGATCATGCAAGTTCGACGGATCAAAAATGCTTTCAACGAGTCTTGAACTCGTGTCGCATCGTAGCAATTCTGAAGGTGGAAGCGATGCATTTTGCCCCTACACCATGAAAGCGCTTCATTTCTTTAAGAAGGTGTTTCGCGTTGGGTATAAGACGGCGCAGAAAAGTAACTTACCTGTCGAACGAAGGAGAAAAGATGAGATTAAGTGCCTCACAATCGGATGTACGTGGTGCACCTATTGAATTGATCCGCCTGGTTTCAGGCGAAAATTAAAAAGTCAGATAACTCAATCCCCATTGATCGTATTTAAAAAGAACCACTCGTCTCTATTAGACCTGGACTGGTATAAGATATCAATGGAGTGTTAACTTTGCTCTCTCATACACATCGGTGCCAAATATGTGAGATTGAGAGCTAGTGATACGTTATTGGATCACGGACTCGTCTGCCATTACCACCTCAGACGATTGAACATTTCAACTTGATGTATCTAGGTCTTGCAAAGCATCATAATGAGAACCGCCAGAAACCTGTAGCCTGTGTGGACAAACCCAACTTTGACTCTTCCAGTGCAGCTGCTGCACGAGCAATTGAGTCCGTTGGCTTTCAAGTGTTCAAGCACTTTCTGGCAAATAGGTACTAAATATGGGGGCAGCAGCACAATTCAGAATCAAGATCGTCGGAAATCAGCGCAACAGTTTCATGCGACAATCTCACTTTGTGATTGCAAAAAATGTCATTTAGCTGGACTTCAGTGCTTCAAGCGAGATTTTAAGTTGTGTCGCATCGACTCTAGACACATATTGTATGGCAACGATGCATGATTACCCTACACCATTACATTTTGATGACTCAGTTTCAAGTTCGATGAAGAGAGTTCAACGAAATCACTGATAAGTCTAAAGGACAAGAATAGGGATGGTTTCTGCGATGAGACGTTACTGATGCGCCTTTTGACTCATTCCACCTAGTTTCGCATTTGAAGTCTAGGGAAACATGCGAATTCGAACAACACCGATACCTGACAGAGGCCCTACTCTCCCATCAGTCCTGGTATCGAATCAGTTTTCGATGAAATGTTGCAGTGGCGTCCTGTCGCTCCTGGTAGTGATTTTGTGATATATTGAAGGCCTGCAATTCTTGGATCAGAAATTGCAGTGTCATTTTGTAAGTTATTGCTTCAAACTGGCATTTTTCGTATTGCAGTACGTCGCAGTTACTCACTATCGTAGTGGGAATCACGAGCATATTTTTGCCGCTGGCGTTAGGCCAACCGTGTTTCTTCTCAAACTCTTGGACGCTTTGTTGGAGATGAGTTCAAAGCAGCAGCTGCAACATCATAATATCGTCGATGTTCGAGTCTTCTATTTTGGTTCCCAACACGTAACAAGAATGGAGCTCACAACAAAGCAAAGCAGGGCGAGATGCTTCAAGATGTGGGTGTGTACGCCAAAGAATACAATCCCAAGTCTCTGTGGTGAAGAGACCGTCATTGCTTCGAGGCTTTGAAACTGATAGCATTTCAAGGAAATGCTCGCCTGCAACGACAAAGAAATGAGCTATTGTGCTGAACGTTATTCGACTACAACCAGCTAAAAACCCTTTCAACGAGACTTGAACTCGTGTCTCATCGTAACTAGCCATCTTAGAGATGGAAGCGAGGCATGTTGCCTCTACACCATGACAGCGCGTCTTTCGCTGAGTTGGGGCGCTTCACGTTTGCTTTAACAGAGCCCAGCAAGGTCACTGACCTGTCAAAGGAACAGGAACATGATGTTTCAAAGTCATATGGATTATATCGCCTCGTTCCACCTGTGAGTCGCATGTCAAACGATGGGAACCTATATTGCATCTGACAGACCGCACATCTAGACCAAATTGGCCATTGCTTTCGAGACAATGTTGGATTTGCGCTTCTAGATTTTCAAAGCCAGAGTGTGATCTATTGAACTGAGCTGGATCCGGAATTCACCTGTCATTGCGTGATGCTTTTCTCAAACTAGGAATGTTCGACTTAGATTATCTCGACCTTATGTGTCATCATATTGGGTCGCACCAGGAGAATGTGGCCGTTGACGTAATATCAGCCTTGATATGCCAAAACGTGTGGCAGTTTCATTGCAACCTTTCAAGCAGGAGCTGCCCAATCGAACAAGATTCAACCAGCTTCCAATTTCGTCTACATCCAATGCAGCGATGTCTGGTACATTTGCTGCTGAAGGCGATGTTGTGTCTAGTACTTACAAGGCTGCCATAGTCGTACTAGGTTTATTGCAATTGAGAAGTTCATCACCTTTGGTTCCTCCTGTCGATTAACGGCAGGACTGTGGTGCTACTAGGTGTTACTGCTCGGTTGCAAATGTTGTCGTTACTAGTATTACTGCTAGATCGGCAGCCGCTACGAGTACGTCCAACAAAGAGCTGCATGTCCACCATTCGTTGCACCTGTAATCTCAACGTAATCTCCAGCTATAATACATCAGACTTGTTGTATCCTGTAAGTCATCATATTACGTTCTCCAAGGCTACAATTCAATGATGGATCGGTAGACCATTGCTTAGATGTTGAAGATCGGACGAGGCAAATGTTGCAAAACCAATTTAATATGGTAAAAAAACGTAATTTCATGGGTCTCTTATTAAAGTTATGCCATAGCTAAAAAATCAAACTTGTCTCGCTGGCAGTGCGTGTCTACTGTGTTTGCTGGCATGCTGACATGACACAAGATTCAAGGTTGGCAAATAAGCAACAATCAGTATACGCGAAAATACACGAAATATTCACCAGCGCCACGAATCACTTGATTCATGTTTTTGTTCCTTTCAATTCTTTCCACTTCATCAAACGCCGACGTAAGTGTCAGCAAAACTCAAACCAGCTATAGCAAGAAAGTAAACAAGTCATGCCTGTGAACTGTACAGTCAAGTGCCCAGCTGAGGTCAAGCTCACTGTTTCATTTGAAGAATCCGACACGGTTCTATCGCTAAAGGAAAAGATCGAAAAGCAACTTGCAGAAACACCCACTCCAACACCCGCTGCTCAACAAGTAAGCACGCAATCCGTCCCTTTTACTCTGTATTTAGCTGTTTATTACCTCAAACTGACTCTTTTCGTATTGCAGAGGTTGATATACAGTGGTCGCATTTTGAAGGACGATGACCTTTTGTCAATCTACAAGATTCAAGAAGGTATATTTTGCTTCAAATCAGATTCACTTTATACATTATCCTTATTCCCTTTCTCTTTCTCTCAGGAAACACTCTTCATATGGTGAAAGGAGCAGCACCTAAAGCAGCATCATCTTCTACGTCAACCCCTTCAGCTACCGCAACTCCCGCTGCTCAATCAACAACTCAGAACAGGGATGCCGCTGCTGCTGCTCCAGGTAACCCACTGTCTGAAGAGTTAATACGATCGGTGTATATACTCATTCAAACAACACGAGTTAGGCCTAAATACAACACCACTTCCAAACCCATTCATGGCCAATCCATTCGCAGCATTACAAGGTGGTGCTGGTGCTGGAGGCTTCCCTCCAATGGGCGGCATGCCACCAATGGGTATGGGAGGTGCCGGAGCGATGGATCCCAACTTGATGGCAAATCTACTACAAAACCCACAAGTATCACAACAAGTTTCTCAAATGATGGTACGTAGTGAGCATTAAGATCATCAGTTCTATGTATTGTATTTACAGGTTCTTCCTCTCTTTGTGATTATTAGCAAAACCCAGCATTCATGGACGCCATGATCGCTTCAAACCCTCAATTAGCAGGCATGATGACACCAGAAATGAGAGCTATGATGTCGTCACCTGATTTCGCACGAATGATGTCTGATCCTAATGTTGTTCGACAAGCTATGGTAACGCGACCGGTCATATCTCAGCTTTACCTACGCTTCATCTAATCTATATTGAATGTAGGCTATGGCACCAATGATGCAACAAATGGGAGGAATGGGTGGTATGGGTGGAACGCCTAATATGGGAGCGATGGGAGCAGGGGCACAGAATCCTTTTGCCATGCTCGGTGGTATGGGAGCCGGTGGCATGGGAGCTCCAGGTGCCCGAGACGCAACAGGAACATCCCCAACAGCTGGAGCTCCAGGTGGAATGCCACCTATGAATCCAGCGTTGTTACAAATGTTGATGGGTGGTGGAGGAATGCCTTTTGGTGCTCCTGCTACTATACCTGGTCAGCCGCAAAGGCCCCCAGAAGAATTATATGAAGTGCAGCTAAGGCAACTTGTTGAAATGGGATTTGTGAGTACTTAATAGTTGTGTTTTTGAATCGCATAATTTTTTAACGTATGTTTTCATTGCAGTACTCGCCACCTGAAAACATTCGAGCATTGCAAATGACTGGAGGTAAGAGTTCTTAGATAATCATCTATCTTGCAGAAGCGAGTATTGAAATCAATCCTGTTTGTTCATGCTTCTGACTGTCGTTGTCCTTCACGTTAGGCAATGTGGACGCAGCTGTAGAATGGCTCTTATCTCATCCTGCTGGACGATAGTCATCCAAATCAGATGTCCTATTTTCTTACCTTTATACATGTTCATTGCGTAAACTATAAACTCGCTCAACTTTCACTTGGAATTGTATGAATTGTATGCCTTGAGGATTGCTTGGCAGATTGCGCCAAATTTATGGCCTTTCAAGCGGATGTGTACGCGTTCTGACAGCATTAGCGGAGCATTACTGCCAGCATTACTGTACATGTCCATCTTCGTTCATCATTTCGAAGCTTCAACCCACACGTCTGAACAGGAGGCAACAACATGCCGTCAATCCAGCATATATCGAGTCTCTCTGAGTTCAATTCCTCTGTCAAGGCAGACAAGCTGGTAAGCTTATATTTGCCACCAAGTCTTGACGGTTTGAGCGATTTCTAACTGAGTTCGGAGACGCCGTTCGCTCTATTAGACTGTAGTCAAATTCACAGCAGTATGGTATGCGACCGGTATTTCATAATGATGATGGCGATCTTGTAGTCTTACATCTAGTTCTACTAGGTGTGGTACGTTGAAATCGCAACATCAAACTGTGACAAGCGTGATTTTGGGATTTTGGGAAATCTCAAACAAACCTTGCAAGATACTCGGTCAGATGTCGGCTTGAACGCTTACTTGTATATTGTACTGACTGTAATAGGTCCATGTAAAGCAGTGGCACCACGATTTGAAGCACTCGCCAAGAAGACCGAAGGAGTCCAGTTTTTGGAAGTGGATGTTGATCAACAAAAGGAAGTCGCAGCTGCAAATGGTATTCGAGCCATGCCAACTTTTGTGGTAAGTCTCCGCGTCTATCACTATCTCAGCTTTTGAGCTACAAACCATTTTGTCCCCTCACTTAGTTCATGAAGAATGGTCAAAAGATTGCTGAAGTCGTCGGTGCCGATATCAACAAGGTGGAAAGACTCACCATGCAACATTCGTCTTTATCCTCCTTTGCAGGAACTGGCCACGTTTTGGGCAGTGCTGACAAACCGTCAACAACCAAAACAATGGCTTCCACATCGAATGGTGGTGCTGCTACCTTTGGCATGGATACCAATTCAGTCATTTTAATTGGTTTGGTTCTGGCCTTGGTTGTATATTTTATCTATAGTCCAGCTAATAGTTCCAATATGTTGTAAGGTTATCTATTTTTTGTAAGGTGCATTGTAGTAGCAAGTGTAGTAGTATATCAGAACCGGTGATCATATCGAATTTTTTGTGCTGTCGCTGGCATGTGCTTCAATAACGTGATCTTTTGGCGCAAGGGCCTGTTTCTGACGTCGCTGTGCGAGATCGAGTTTTGATTTGTTGCATGTAATGATATTTCTAGAGTTGCATTGATTCATATCATGACACGAGCTGCGGGTTCTGGCGGACCTTCCTTATTTCGATGAACTCAATTCCCCAAACCTCAGAACAACCAGTCGGACAGCGGAGAACTTCGGAGAACTGCTCAGGTTGTACTCTGGATCAACTTGCATCTGTAAAGGCATTACTTTCTGCTTGTATGCATCCATGAGGCCTCTCTCGCTCCTGATTACATTGGGTATGAAACACAAAACTTCCAAGTTTTTGGAGGGATGTGGCAGAAATTGTTTGATTTCATTGCAGTTGGACTTGATCTGGATTAGTAAATGTCCTAACGTTTATTTTCATGCCGTATTGGTATAGGGATCTTGGCGTGGTCAGCTCGTTCTGAAGCAGTTGCAATCGCCCGACGAGTACTCGAAGATCCGATTTCATCGAACGTTGTTGTCATCACTGAGGAGAGCGTATGTGCAAATGGAACTACTTTTGGTATCAGGATCGCCTCGTATCCCCAGAATTCATTCACGCCATCGTGGCAGGTAAGAAACCACAAAAGCAGCGCTCGATTTTCATTTTGGTGTTCACTTGCAAAGTGACGTTTAAACGATCATGCTGACCTTTATTCTCTTCTCATAAGACTCCAATATGCTTGAACACACCTCTGACGTTGATTTCTGCTGTGTCATCCCAGACGAATGGTACCTCAGTGTTGTATCTGTCGTACAGGTCCTTCTCGCAAATACTCGTACAGTCTGTAGCCTTGATTGATGGGACCGCAAGTGCAACCATACTCTCTGCTGCTCCAATCGCTCTGACTCCTGGAATTGTTGCCGTGTACCAACAACATATAGTACTCATAAACAGGACACAGCTGCTCGATATTACAGCCAACACCCAACAAAACGTAAGTTTCTTAGCCGCAACTGATAAGGTAACTTGGATGTTGGCTGGATCTAGTGGGATCTACTGTCTTGGGCAAGGGGCAGCATCAAATGCAACAAACGCGAACATGACCGGAATTTGGGTTACTAATAGCTTACGAGTGGCAGATACGCCCGAGATATATAGAGCAGATGTGAATACCAACGTGAAGCTACTTGGGCAGGCTAGCAATGCTCCACCAGGTCCACAACTCCCACCTGTAATCATATGCTCAAACGCACTCTTCATATCGTTCACCCCTATCGATGGTACTGGGCTCTCAGTCTTGACTTATAACACTACGACAAACAATATCTCTACTCCAATGACTCCTGTTATAACAGCTGCAGATCGAGTGATCTCATTGACATGCATGCCGATAACGAATAGTGTGTTGCTGATATTAGCTCGTAATGCTTCCACCGGATTGGCTTACGCCATCTCCTTTGATCCGACATTTGGCATATCCAGTCCACTAGCTTTGGTGGCTCCGACACCAGTAGGAGCACCAACAAATTTAAAATGGAACGTGGGAGCGATAGATGTCGCAACACCTGGAGCCGCAAACGGTACCGTTGCTGCAGCTGTAGTAGGAAGCTCATCTTCAATGTCAGCTGGTGTAGGAACTGTATTCGCAACGAGTTATCAAGTATCGATTTTTGAACCTTTACTGCCTGGTAATGCTCTATCACCGAATCGATCTATACCTTGTAATCCAAGCAGCTCAGCAAGCTCTGGAGATTGCGTTGCAAGTCCCACACCAGGACCCGGTGGAAATACTGATGGTGGACTTTCTGCCGGTGATAAAATTGGAATAGGTGTTGCTGGAGTTGCAGTTGTTGCTGTCGGATTGGGATTCATGGCTTACATGGGACGAAAAAGGACATTTGTGGCTGAGGGTGCTGAAGCTGGTGCTGAAATAGATGAAAATAGAGATCCCAATCGGCACTCAGATGGCTCAGATATGTATAAGAGTCAGCTTGGCGCTGCCCCGATGCTGCCTCCTCTGTTGGCCATTCGTGGTGATAGTGGTGAGTACTTGATTGTTACCATGTTTCAAGCATCCGTCACTAATCTGCTTGAGTAGATATCGCGGAGAGCACCTCGTCACTCCCTCCTCTTCCGCCACTACCGGATCATAGTCCACCGCTACCTCCTCCACTTCGAAACTTTGCCTTCAACAAGCAATTATCAGCGGCGCGAGGATTGTCTAATCGTCAGACCTCTGCGGCTACCATATTACCTACAGAGTCACCACACGACGTTGCGAGAGCAGACACATTGAAAAGAGGTGGGAAGGCTCCCATACTCTCTGAAGACGTCGAAAGCCAGATCTTGAATTCATATCAGGACACAAATTCCCAACAACCAACATCCATATCTGAAACTATTGTCTCGAAAGGATGGAATACTGTGCCTCCAATAACTACTACTAGAACTCTTGGATCATCCTCATCGCCAAATGGAGAAAAGAGACCGTTGTTGACTCCTACATTTGGGGGTGGTGAAAGTCACCACAGTCGTGGCAGTAGTAGGTCCAGTACAGGTCCAGGAGTGACACGCATAGATACTCAGCTAGGAACAGGACTTGAAACACAGTTAGAAACTGGTGAAGACACTGCCGTCAATGCACTGTCACCTGATGAGTTCGACTTTGATAAACTCATTGATGAGCAATTTGCTGAATTGCTGGACAAAGCACCTCACGATCGAGATTTGAGTGCACCATTCTCGATACAGGAATCACCTATAATACTACCTGAAGCAGTGATAGCATCGCAAAGAGAACGAGGACTAAACACACGACCTTATAACAGCAACCACAACAAAAATATGAATACCCATAACATGAATGCTGATAATAACGAGGATCCAAAACAACGAAAATCTCTGGTGTCTCTGATACAAGGATACGATGATTTGACCTCAAAAAGACCTACACAACCGCAACCACTAGAAACACTATATTCCTCTGAATCTGAGACATCCCTAAACTCTAACAGTAGCTCTGAACCCGAAGGCTCTGTATCAGAAGGTGAATCTGAGCCACCCTCTGTATTTGGAGATATAGTCTCACGTTCCTCCAGAGCACGCTCACCGACGCCAGGCCCGAATTCGTCCAGAGAATTCATGCAAATACGACCAGCACCACAACCAATAGCACCTTCGCCAGCAGTATTTGTTGAGGAACCAATTCAGTACAGCAATACTAGTCCATATAGACCTCCAATGTCTAGCTTCCATCGAAGTACGACGAATGCACTACGATTGAAGATGGACAACATAGCGACACCGCCTGTTATATCGCATCCCACCAACAATAATAATCACACTTCGTCGGGAATAGTAATACCGCCACGATCATCTTCGCATAATCTGCCTAAGAGAAGTCAATCTGCCAGACAAGGAAATTTCCCCCCGCTACCGCCAATACCGGCCAAGTATGAAGCTGCTGTCGCTGCTACCAGGTCGAATATACCGCAGCCCACGTATAATGCAGGTAGAGCTAAACCACTGTCGCCTGTTGAAGAGTCTCCTATGCTTGAAAACACCCCAATATCTGTGGATGAGTGGCTTGCTTCTGCTGATGCTGTAGAGTGGTCAAAGTGAAGAGGGTAACAACTGATGTATATATCTGAGACTTGGTCGAGAGAGTTTGCATATTTTATAGTTTGCTACAAGTTACATATTTTATTTTTTGGCCAGCATCGTTTGTTATTTTATTATAGTGTAATACACGATAGTTTGCTTTACCAGGTTTATACGAATGGGAGGGATTGGTAGCGCTCTATACCACGAGCAACGCATGCGACAATATTCAACCATCTAGCGCCATTTCCATAAACAGTAGAATGGTTCATGATTGGAAGTATCAAACGTTGACTATACAGAGGTTGGTTAAAAGCACAAAGTGCACAAATATGTAACAGTGTCCGTGTAGACGAAGCAATAGCAAATATTTTACTTTTTGGTTTGGTTTTGGGTTGCTGCAAGCTTCCAATGTATTGAAGCCTACGAGTAAAATGTGTCCAAGTTCCAAACAATCGGAACTTGAAAGAGGTTTGGTACTTTTTCACACTTTATTTGACTTAGCCAAGTGTGAAAATGGTACCCAAAAACACGAAACGGCTTCATTTTTGCTAGGAGACAGTGTTGAAGATACGAGAAACCTGTGAGAGGAGACGACTTCTAGTTCTTCCGATGTTTGCCCCACTTGGAAACATCACCACATCCGACGGATTTGTGGGACAAGAAGCCCTTGTGTTCATTTAGGAACGGCTACGATATCCTTGCATAAATGTTCAATCGGTCCTTAAGCTACTTCTCAGAACGGCTTGTTGACAGGCACGACGGCAGCCAGATGGATTGACTTCTGACTTGGGAGCATCTCGTGCGAGTGGGCCCGACTTTTGAGGTTCCCAGGCCTCTGACCGGGCTAGGGCGTCCCTCCAGGTTTTGCGCAATACTGCTAAATCTTCCAGGCTGATGCCCAACCGTCAACATGATCCGGGAGATTCAGAGGCTACACCGATAGTCACTAGACACCAGTCCCTTGAGCAAGGCCCGTGAGTTGATACCAGAGAGGGTTGTATAGCTGAAACAGTTGCAGAGAAACCCCTGTTAGAGATTTATCGATGTAGAAAGAAGGCGACAATGAGCAACCAAGTAGAAGAGTGCATAAATACTCATGATTACCCTCCCATAACTTTATGGTCTGTCTGGAAGTTCGTCAAGCCTTCGGTTTGTGACGAATGAAGCCAGAAAATCTGCAATTTTCATGAACGTCATGTATGCGTGTGGCTTGTGTGTGGCTTATATGTGACACGTGGAAATGTTTTGGGAGATTGACACCACAGGAAGGAGATAAGAGTGTAAGTATCGTATCTTTAACGTGTATCCTTACAATGGAGACCATATGGCTTGTTCCTGCAAACGCCAAACATCTGTATTGACGGAGATATCGGCACAGTTCCGCTCACCACAACAGGTGAGTGTCGAATATCATGGATCAGGAATAATTGGATTATTTCGATTTACTGGATAGTAGAATTCAGTATTTCAGTACTTCGGCAGCATATGGTAGATCATCCAGTAAAAACAACCTAGCTAGAACATTCACATTTTCACGATCTCGCGAAGCAATATGATGCTGATGACTGTTGATGTAGTCTTGTAAATATTTTGGCCAGAGATCTGATTCAAAGTCTGCGTTGGGATTTCAGATACAGTTCAAACATGGTCAGACAGCCGATAGGGGATGGAAGACTTTTCCAAGAAATTTATGTCGCATTCAGATTGGTCCGAAAGTATTCATACGAGACTTTGATCGAAACTGTAGGGCTCCACATTGGTGGAACGTCTAGTGTTGGCAGATGAAAGCAATCATTACTCTTTCCGTTCAAGCAACGAGCCCCCCTATGCGAATACCAAGAAGATCTAACTATTTAGTCTTTAAGAATAAATCATCGCCTTCCCACGCGTCGTTACCCGATTTTGATGATATCAACCTTCATCAACTTGATCCAACTCCAAATTCATTTCTACGACCAACCAACAATTTTCAGAGATAGATGGCTGAATTCAGTGAACAGGACAGACGTATACTTGCAGCCATAAACGCTATAGGAGATCCAGACACAGAACGACCTCGAGAACGAGACGAAACCGATGACTATGATCTCGCCATCCCAACACTAAAACCACACAAAGATGATGAACGACGAGATCCCAAATTGAACCGTATACTACAAGACCAGCAAACCAGACAATCTCTGAATGAAGGAGGTCCACAGACAGGTCCTAAGGGAGTGCTCGCCGACTACCGCTTCCACGCAAAACAGGAAATCGCTCGACGCGCCGAACAGGCACGTCATGACTCGTCAAGGAATAAACAGCTGCTATCGTCTGGCTGGATGCAACGAACTATAGCTAGAGAAGAGGCTGAAAAGAGGGGCGATATTGCTAAAGCTGAAGGCAACAACAGGAGTGATGCTCTCGATGACGCTGAACGACAACGAGAAGAAGATGAAGACGCAATCGAACTGCTTGAACGACAAGTCGAAGATCTAGATCTAGAAGACCCGGCATTCTTGAATCAGTACCGTGCTCGTCGTATTGCTGAAATCTCGCAACGAACTCCAGCTCGTGTACATGGTGTATTACGAGAATTGGATGAATCAACATATGTATCTGCTATAGACAACGAGGCTAGTAATGTCACTGTCGTCATACACTTGTATCAGTCTGAAGTTGAGGCTTGTCGAACCACCAATGTCTACTTGACTCGCATGGCTCAAAAGTATGGGATGGTCAAGTTTTGTAAAATTGTGTCTACTCGTGCAGATGAGAACTTTGATCAGGTTGCGCTGCCTGCCTTGCTGGTTTACCGTGGTGGTGACTTGACTCATACACTCATAAGGTATAGTGTGTTGTAGAGTAATTACTCGACAATTTGGAACATTCATTTAAACCTTCTTTCCTCCTGATGCAGAATCACAGATGAAATACCAGGCTGGAGAACAACTGGACGTGTAGAATTAGAAGATTTCGAAGATTACTTGATTCGTAATCGTGTAGTCTCAGAATCAGACATTACAGACTTTGATTCCAACTTGTTGACTCCTCGACGATATCAAGCTGACGATGACGATGAAGACGAGGATGATTTACTTGATTAGTAGTTTTAGTCTGTAAGATAATTTATTTGTACATACGCTTGAATTCACTGTAAAGAAAGGAAGATTCGCATGTCATAACTTTATCTTCCTTTGCAATTTTTGCCCGTAATTCAAGTAGTCCAAACACTCACACCAGACTTGAACATCAAACCTCAACAAGATCTCAAATATTTGATGTATTAACAACACTATGCTCCATTTACACACCTTTAATGCCAAATCACCACAGTCTTGTCCTTATCAGCTGAATATAAATTACTTCCTCCCATCGGATTCCATACAACGCCACAAATAGCAGACCTAATAGGAGTCATGTCACCTGTTTCTGTCTTCATCTTTTAGACAAAACAAGATTGAGCCTTACCTATGCTCCCTCATCATTCTCTCCACACGACCTGTATCGGAATCCCATATAAATAATGTTCCATCAGCAGATCCAGAGCAGATGTATGAGCCATCAGGGCTAGGAAAGCGAACAGAGTCAACATGAAGAGATATGGTGCATGGAGACAAGGGTCTTTTTTGTTCGCACATACCTAAAGCATGATCTAGCCCAATTCATGCCAGTCTTGAACGCCTCATGCCTTAACAAAACGAATGAATTGTCAACCACCTGTTCAGCTTCTACAGAGGCAGAAACTAGGGACACTTACGTAAATGTATTAACAGTCTCATACGTCCTCAAATCAATCAGCTTGAGAGTGTTGTCTCGTGATGTCGTGAGGAGGAAATTTCGATCTAGGGCAAAAGGAATCATGAACTGTCTGGTAGAAAATGAGCTTTTGGCTCCTTATAGAAATGACTCACTTGGCGACATCTCAACACCAGTCACTTGTCCGAAATGTAATCCAGTAATCTCGCGTATGAGATTAGCTGAACGGGAGTCCCATACTCGTATGTTGTTGTCGAGATGGCCACTGACAATCATAGAACTAATACAAGGTGGAAAAAAATCAATCATAGGATTTATGTATCAAGTCGACTCAACTGTTACCCATCATCATCCATTAACGTCAGGTCATTACAGCTTGATAATGTGAAGATTGTCTTTGTGCCTTTTAATAGAAGGGTGTTGGCAAAGGGCGAAACTCATTGCGATTCAAATGAAAGAGCAAGAGACTTACAGTATCCTTTTGCCAAATCCCATAACTTGATAGTACGATCATGAGACCCTGACACCTAAGGAAGGCAAAAATACACAGGGTAGTAGAGGCAATAGATTGTGTGCTGAGCGAGAACATTCAATTACCACTCGATTGGAATCTGCGAATCTGGCAGCAAACACTTTTCCAATATGGCCAGTAAGAGTGTGCTAGAGTATATAAGAGGTTTCAAATGTTCAGTTGGAGGAAGAAAAAAACTGCTGTATCGTTGAGACTATACCTTGAGTCGATTCGTGCCCAACGCCCATATCTTGACAGAATGATCATTCGAGGTACCTAATATCAAATCACCGGCCTTGTTGAATGCAACACACATGACTGATTGTAGTGATCCAGATAAGGAGGTCTTCACTGTGCCTATTATGGATTACTCTGTAAGGGCTTTTTGAGCGAGTGACGGTAATGGTAGGTATTTAAATCTGTACCTGTCTTGGACTCAAAAACAAGAATCTTTTTATCGTTTGATGCAGTAGCGATCAGGGATCCGTCAGGACTGATGCAGATGGAGTTTATGTCTGCGTCGTGAGCATTCTAATGAACGAAAAATGTGAGAAGAGTGCTCTACGGTGACAGAAAGCCGAAGAGTACATACAATCCTTTTGGTAACGGTAGTTGGCAGAACTACACGAACAATTGACTTTGTCCTATAGTTTTGTAACGAGTGTTAGGCTCGTTGATTTTTGATAAGCAACACTTTCTGAAATTGTCATTCTTACTTTTCAAGCAACTCTTTCCCAACATCAGCTGAGGACGATTGTCCAGATACATCCTTTTTGATTTTCAAAGCCCTGACATTCAGAAAGAAGAGAATTGTGAATTCAAACAACAGCGAAAAAAACCACAATGATCTAACAGCTTACGTTTCAACAAACTCATTAGCCTCATTCATCTTAGCAGCCTGTTCAGACTTGAGTTCCATAAACCTAACAACCAACTCAGCATTCTCAGATTCCAGAGTCTTGATACGAGCTTCGAGTGTCTTGTTAGCTGCTTTTTGATCATTGATGATTTGATCTGTTTGAACTAGTTCGAGTTGTAGAGCTGCTAGTTCATCTCGTATGATCTATGCGAAAGGGTGTCAGGTGAAAAAAGGCCGAAATCTCATATATGCGCAAGTGCTTTTCGTCGCGATAAATTGTCGTTCATACCTGTATAACACCATCCTTCTCTTTAACAAGCTGTTGCCCATCAGATACTTTGATATTCAAGCTGTTGACTTGTGTGCTCAGTTTCTGGTTTCTGTGAACAGAGGGCCAAAGAAGTGAGGATGCAGCAAACATGGACACATCATTGCATTGACATACTCCAACATAACAACTCGAATACGATCCTCGTAAGCCTTATTGGAATCCAGCAATTCCAATAACCGTTGCGCATTTTGGCCTTGAGTCTTGTATAGTTCTGCTTTCTCTTCCTTGAAGCTGGTGTTTTGAGATTCTAGATCGTGTAATCTCTTTTGAGCTTCTGGAGATCTAGTCGACAAATCGAGCCTTTAGTATTAATTAAATATATGGTAATTTGGAACTGAGATGATGGCTAGCCTTTGCGGCCAAAAAACCCACAGAACCACAACATAATGACATTACCCAAATGTCTGAGCTTGTTGATTCGCCCTAACAGATTCAGCCAATTCTCGTCGTAAAGTAGATACAATACCATCCAATTCAGCTTGTCGATCTATAGAAACTCGTGCTCTACGCACCAACTCGTTGTCTAAAAATTGTTGGAAATGTTAGATTGATAAAATGACGCCGTGCGTTTCAAGTACAAGCCTTACTCTCTTGGAATAGTAATTGGAAGGCATCTCGCTCATGTAAATCTCGATCTCGCAATGCTGTTACCAGCTGGTTCTTCCAAGGAGCTTCAACTGCCATCTCGTCGAGTTTTAAGGTTTTTGTTCACAGGCGGCGATTCGGTCTCATAGCGTTAATTGGGCGTTAATAACACGTCTGCGCTTTCATGAGAGCACTATCGGTTCTTTAAGGTATGTATCTAAGTAATATACAACGTGACAATGACATTTCATATGAATCACACAGGAGTAGTTCAAAATAACGTGACCGACGATCTAACCAAAACCTCTGCAACATTAAGATTGAATGGAAGTATCTTTTCATAGATATCTTTACCAGTCAACGCTGCGAAAATTCTCTCAGTATCCAATCCAATGACGAAGGCAACACGATAATGCCACATCACCAGCCGGTCTCACGATATAATTTTCAAGACCTCTGACGCTCTTAATGAATATGTCTTCGAAAGTCCTGCATCGACAGGATCTAATACTGAGTTAAATAGCAAAAAACACTGTGACGATTGAATGAATACACACTTGATCACGACATTCTCCTTGAGGTTCCTTCTCGAAACAAGCTTCCATCTCTTATTATTTGCCCCTGCCAGCAGTAGCCGATGAAGCTGGTGGGATGAGGAGAAGTCAGCGACGAGAACAAAAAACAATTCGATAAACTGATGAGATTTCATGGTCAAACGACCCTTAAATCATCGCAGTCCAATTTTGTAGAAACTGGAAGTAGTGTCTAGCAAAAAAAACATGTAATAAGATTACCATATGCCGATTACGTCCACCCGATAAGCGCTACTTGTACCTGAATAAGACCCTCGTTTTCTGCAACGAGCTATCCTCCAAAAAAAATTTTGATATTGACTTAGGAATTCAACTTCTGGTGCTTGTAAGAGAGGCAAAATAGCCGGCCAAACCGGACGCAATATAATGAATATTATCATTGCACCCACACACTCAGAACGAAACAGCTCAAATTAGGTACTCATATGCCATATACGAATCCAGCAATTCCATTAATCGTTGAGGCAATATGACTTCATGTCCAGTTATAATTTAGCTGTTCCACCCTTTAAACCTTTAGTGGAAATTGAGATCTTAAACGTACCCTCCTTTGCAATTCTGGAAATCTAAATTTGAAGATTATGTGACTGACAGGTCAATTTACAACTGAGATTATAAATGGCCTTTCGCGCCAACAAAACCGGCCAACCGACGTTATAACGCATACCTAAATGCTGGAGCTTCTTGAATTGTCCCACCAAAGATATCTGATTCTTTGCATAAGGTGGATACCATCCAATTTCGCTTGTCGACCCATTCACTCTATAAACACGTCCAATGTCAATTCGACGAGAGTGGACGCCAATAGCTCTGACAAACAAAACATCTCACTTTCTTAGATTGGCAGATAGCATGACACTCTGTCTTGCATAGCTCTTTTTTTTACCGCAGCTAGGATCTCGGAGAGAGTGTTAATTTCCATTCTCTTTCACGTGCATCTCTTTTGGAAAATAGAAGGCATTTGCACAAAAGCAGCGACAGCACACGTTAAGTCTTAGTAAAATGCTAATATTTCAGTAAAAATACAACGTTAACTTTTCTATATACACGTATGGGTTCATGAGTCTTAATTGCAAATGCAAACCTCCAACCTCGACCACAAACTCCTACTCAACACTCGTCACCAAACCAGCAGGAGCATGATTCGAAAGCACGAAATCTAGAATATCCTTGGCGTAATCCACAATATCCTCAAACATTGGTATGTCAGGTCCTCCAGAAAACAGTTTCGCCATACTGGAGACAAGCACTTGATATGTATCTACGGGGATATCGTTCAAGTTTCGACGTGTGCCGAGCAGGATGAAGAGGAGGTTTACGGTGGTTTTGATGAGGTGGAGTCTGGCGGGTGTTGTTGGTGGGAGGAGAGAAATGTCTGCAAATGAGACTATGCAGAGGACTTGGTCAAGTTGGCTGGAGAAGAAGGATGCTAGACGGCTGAGATTCTATAGGATTATTTAATGATTGAGACGACAAGATGAGTAAGAAAAGTGTTGCGAAAACAACGATTTGCAAAGGTAATCCTATGGCCTTTCATTCGACGATCGGACTCACTTGATGATACCCCACAATACGAAGGGGTATGTGAGAATAACGTAAAGACACCAATGACAGCTGATGTATTATGGCACCATACAAAAGACACGACTCGACCTGTTTAACAATGAGGTGTTCTCAGACTTCCGGACAGTTGTTTTCCCAACAATTCAAACACACCTCATCGATATCAAGCTCCTGTGGTGAAAACGCCAACAGCGCACAAACTCGATCCAGCACAGACCGCCTCCTTGCAGATGCTCCATAGACTGTATCTTGAAACATTACATCGAATGTTTCTCGATCTAATGGATCACAGGTTTTAGACATTACGCTTTTGGATTTTTTTGGCTTAAAATGGTACAAACCTTCAGCTAGCAGTGTACACAGCTCAATGGTCCGAATGAGTATTGGACCTGGCTGTTTGACATCCAGACACATTTGCACCGTCTTTGGAGATATCTGCTCTCGAATGCTACAATTAAGCGAAAAAGTCAAACCCACAGAAGAGCCATTCCAAGCATTTGTTGACATACCTCGCTAGCACTTGAGGAGACGGCTCATAACTTAACACTTTCAAGCAGTCTAATGTATTAGCTCCAAGAAACTCGTAATCCATATCAGTGGCTTCTGATCCTCCCAATGCTACAGGAGAGATGAGATTCCATATCTGTAATAGGCTATCTAAAATTCCACAAGCTATTGTGGCAAGGAGGGTGTAAGCAGAAAAGGGAACAATCATGAAGAACATACATGGCATACAAAGCTGAGCTATCGAGTTCCGACAATCCTGGCTAACTAGAACAACGACTCTTGTCATGAAGGACAAACAAGACAGTGGAGTATACTAAGAGAAAAATCTAACACGTGAGAAAAAAGGGGGTCAAACCAGCAAATACCTCCTTAGAGTGTCTTTACCAGTTTATGCTGCAACAATTCTCTCAGTATCCAATCCAATGACGAAAGCAATATGGTTAGTGATAGAGTCATATCATTAGCCAATCGTCCAATATCGTTCAAAAGCTTTGACGCTCTTGATGAATACGTTTTTGAGAATTCTACGTCGATAGTGTCTAATTCGAAAACGTGTCAGATCAAAAAAGAAAAGAATTAAAAGAATCGAGTGATGCGCACTAGATAAAGACATCCTCTGCAAGATGCCTTCCCGAAACAATCCTCCGTCTTCATTATCAGTGGGGCCTGTCAGAAGTTGCCGAAGAAACTATGGTGATCAAAGCTAGATCAGCAAAATAGACAAAAAAGGAAATTCTGCAAAGACCTGCTCATACCAAGATGTTTTCATGCTCAAACGACACATGAATCATAGCAGATCGATTCCAAGTTGGTATGGGTACTGTAATTGATGATGAAGTTACAGGCTCTAGTAAAGGATTCTCTGTCCGTCCTCCTTGTTCGGTGACTGGCGTGACATCAGTCATGGTAGCAATACTTGCGGTTACAGGACGTTCCATTCGTGCTTTTTTAGGACTAAACGTGAATGAAGCCATCGTTGGGAATCCTACAGAAAGCGGAAAAGGCATGCTTGAGCACGAATACGGAAAAAGGCTAACTGAAAGTAATATCATACCTCCATCTTGAGGTTCAGCTTTCCGTGGTGATTTGAATGTAGCAGTACTCTTTTGATATTCACGAGCTTGAATTTCGTGCTCCTAAATTATGTAGATTGAGGACGTTGATACGCAAAAATGGGACAAGATTAATCAAATAATGACTTGCCGCAAAAGCAAATTTAGCTTGAAGTTCCTTCACTTGTTTCTCCAAGTCCTTTTTCATAGCATCATGTTCCTTTATGGATTTAACCTGATGATCTCGTAGCTGGTCACGGAGGTTCTTGTTGTCTTGTTCAAACTGAATAAATTACGTTGGTTGGCCTTCGCGTAATTTTTTACCTTGCAAAGCATGGCAAATGCTTATCAGCTCCTTACCCTTGTTAAATTGCCTCGAACCATAGATGCCTCTCCAATCTTGGTAAGAATCTCTAGATCGAGCTGCCGATTCTTGTTGTTGAGTTCCGCGTTTTGTTGACGGAGCTAAAAAAGGGTTAGTTCTAAAGTCATCGAGGTATAATATTTCAAAAGCAACGCTCTAGATCTCTCGTCATACTTTTGTAATCTCGGCCTTGTATTCGTCCATTTGTCTGGTCAATAGATTAACATCTTGAGCACGGTGAGCCATAGCCAAGACATCGTCTTCAAATGCTTCATTCTCTGTTGTACCAACACCACCTGCAAGACCACCTGGTTCAGATGGTTTTTTGGTTTGTTGCCACTGGTTGTTATGGTTGTTCTGCACATGCTGTTGCGGCTGTTGCTGTTGTTGCACTGGCTGAAGATGATTCAGGTTGCTGTTTAGCACATACTGCTGCGGTTGTTGCTGTTGCTGCGCTGGCTGATGATGATTCAGGTTGTTATTGTTCTGAAGATACGGCTGCTGCAGCTGTCGCTGTTGTTGCACTGGCTGATGCTGATTCAGGTTGTGGTGATACTGCTGGGAGTTCTGATAATTATTATTATTGTTGTCGTTATTGCTGAGATTACTACTATGCATGTGAGTAAAAGTCTGTCTGGTCAAACCCATAGCTCGGTTAGAGTTACTACCAGTGGCAGTTACCACTTGAACTTGGGACACCGATGCTGTTACTGTTGGCACTTGTTGTCGTTGTGGTTGTGGTGGTGGACGATGAGGAGGAGCTGCATTGGGAACTACAGCAGCAGCATTTGGATTTGGATAAGCAGGATCATGTTGTGACATGATTGTTTCGAAAACCTCCAAGTCATCCTTGTCGATAGCACCAAACTCGTCATCAAACTCGTCACGCTATACGTAGAGAGATGTCAGTATGGCTTTTTGGATCATACGTGAATTCCAATCACGATCCGTACTTTGGCATTGGGAGCTCTTGACGCACCAACGCCATTGTTGAACATTTGATGATTCTGGTTGTTTGTAGATCAATTCCAGTGAGTAAACAATGGAGAAACTTGAATGCGGCCGTAGATCCAATATAATTTGAATACAATGTACATCAAACATACTTCAATAGCAGTTCTCTTTGCGTTTGGATGAACAACAGCCGTTGTTGCTGGGCGTTTACCCAATGCATTCGTAGACAAGGGAGGCCGAAACATGAGATAACCCTAACAAGAATGCAATCAATCCTCTAAACACGCTATACCACAATCATCCTGCACCTGCAACCTCGAAAACACTACTCTTTTTTGCAGCTTTCACGGTTAGAGGAAAACAAGCTTTATAGACGGTGCGGAAGCTCCGAAACGCGTCAATTATATTTACATGGCGAATTCAGAATATATGACGCGTCGCTGCCCTCGTTATCACTAGTTCCCGTTGAGTCTTTGATTGAGCCTTTCCAAACACCGTCGTATACAATCAATCCAGAGGACAGAGATAATACATATAGAATAATACAATGGCTACTAGCAGTGGTGGAAGTGCCCAGCAGACGGGTCTGCTGCTGTCTAAATTCGAGACCAAGTCCAATAGAGTCAAGGGCCTCACATTCCATCCAAAACGTCCTTGGATTCTAGCAAGTCTGCACAATGGAACGCTGCAGCTATGGGACTACAAAATGGGAACCCTCGTAGACAGATTTGATGATCATGAAGGCAAGTGCCCTCTATAGGTCGTTGTATTCGTACATCAATCGTGCATGTGGTGGAAGAGACAGCAAATCAAATATCATATTTGAAACAACGACTATTCGGTCAGGAGAGGATTGAACCATCGTGTCAGCAATCAATACTTAATTGCTGTAATTTTTATTTCCTCAAGATTTCTGTGACTCTTCATACCCAACTCAACCCTTGCACCAACGCAGGTCCTGTACGTGGTATTGCATTCCATCCAACTCAGCCCTTATTCGTCTCGGGTGGTGACGACTACAAGATCAAAGTATGGAACTGGAAGACGAGACGATGTCTATTCACCCTTAACGGCCATCTCGACTATATTCGAACCGTCTTCTTCCACCACGAGCATCCTTGGATTATCTCGGCCTCTGACGATCAAACTATACGGATATGGAATTGGCAATCTAGAAACTGCATATCCATACTCACGGGTCACAACCACTATGTCATGTGTGCTCAATTCCATCCAAAGGAAGACTTGGTTGTGTCCGCTTCGCTGGATCAAACTGTCAGAGTGTGGGACATTTCAGGTACAGATAATGTACATTATAGTGTATATTGTTCAATCATTGTGACATATACTGTATTGAACAGGTTTGAGAAAGAAACATGCTGCTCCACAACAACCTACATTGGAAGACCTCCATCGTGGTCCAAACCAAGCTGACTTGTTTGGTGGAACCGACGCCATTGTAAAATACGTATTGGAAGGTCATGATCGTGGTGTCAACTGGGCTTCCTTCCATCCAAACCTACCTCTTATCGTATCTGGTGCTGATGATCGTCAAGTTAAATTATGGAGAATGAATGGTAACAAATCATGATGCACGTCTTCACTGTCCTTTTTTTTCACACGTTTAAACAAACAGAAACAAAGGCATGGGAAGTCGATACGTGTCGAGGTCACTACAACAACGTGTCCTGTGTCATCTTCCATCCGAGACAGGAACTCATCATTAGTGACTCGGAAGATAGAACAATACGTATTTGGGACATGACAAAGAGAACTGTATTACAAACATTTAAACGTGAAAATGATCGATTCTGGATTATGGCTGCTCATCCGGAATTGAATCTCTTCGCAGCTGGTACAGAATCTGACATCGGATTTGGCAGTTTTTTGCCCTTAGCATTACCTTGCTCAAACCCTACAATCATTACGTCTAGGCCACGATTCAGGTCTCATTGTATTCAAACTGGAACGAGAACGACCAGCACATGCCGTCCATCAGAATCAATTATTTTATCTCAAAGAATCCGTCGTTCGTCAATACGATTTCACAAACTCCAATGATTCTGGCCTTATCAAAGTACGAAAAGCTCCTGTTGGACAAGCCACGCCACCAAAAACATTATCATATAATCCTGCTGAAAATTCCGTGCTCATTTGCTCGGTAGGTAGTAGTGTCTTGTGTTGCGAGCATTTTATCAGCAAAAAACAATCTCAACAAGTGTCGATTCATAAACGATCAGTGCAGTCAATTCATAAACTTTTGATTATTCTGACCACCGTTTACCCTTTAGATGGCAGACGGTGGAACTTATGAATTGTACAATTTGCCCAAAGACCCTTCAAGTGATGTCAGAGACGCAACCGATTCAAAGAGAGGAATCGGTCAAGCTGCTGTATTTGTAGCAAGAAATCGATTTGCTGTATTAGACAAGATGGGACAGGTAAAGCACTGGTGATCTCTCGATGCATGCAAACTGATCACAATGCGTTTTTTTGTCTTCGAGTGTTCATTGACCATTTCTTCTTTATTGCAGCAAATCTTGATCAAAGATTTGAAGAATGAAGTCACCAAACAATTCAAATTGCCTACACCTGTCAACGATATCTTTTACGCTGGTACCAAAACTCTTCTCCTCACTACACCCACATCTGTGATTCTATACGATACCGAATTAAAAGCATCTGTCGCTGAATTGAATGTCAATGGCGTTCGATATGCTGTTTGGTCGCCGGACATGTCTATGGTCGCCTTGTTGAGCAAGCACAGTGAGTGCTGCATTCATCGAGTGGTTGCCACTGCGGTTTTTTGTGTTTTATAGACCTGACTTTTCTGTCTCCCTCTAGCCATTGCAATCGCCAACAAGAAATTGGAGCAGACTTGTCTCATACACGAAACCATCAAAATTAAGAGTGGCGCATGGGATGAAATTGGTATATTTGTCTACACCACTCTCAACCACATCAAATATGCTCTACCTCAAGGGTATGTACTAAGTCCTTTATGAAATCAGTGTTTCTGCTCACACTTGCAACTCTCTTGCTATTAGTGACAATGGTATTATTCGAACTCTCGAACAACCAGTCTATCTGACTCGAGTCAAGGGCAAGAGTGTATACTGCCTTGATCGTGATGGCAAAGTTCGAGCTATATCTATTGATCCCACTGAATATCGGTTCAAGCTTGCTCTGGTTCGACGTAATTACGATGAAGTCTTGCATCTCATTCGAACATCAAATCTTGTTGGACAGTCTATTATTGCTTATCTGCAGAAGAAGGGATATCCAGAGGTTTGTTTGGTGGTTTTGAATATCCAGCATCGTGAGCTTCTATCGTCCATTTTGTTGCGCTTTGCCAACTCCCTCGTTTTTTAGGTTGCACTTCATTTCGTAAAAGACCACAAGACACGTTTCGAACTAGCCTTGGAATGTGGTAATTTGGAAGTTGCAGAAGAGACTGCTAAAGCCATGGATAAAGATGAATGTTGGAATTTGTTGGCTGTTGAAGCATTGAAGCAGGGCAATCACAGAGTGAGTGATCATGGATACACAATCTTGGCGCTATTTTGCTTGGCTTCTAACAACTCAAAAAATACGCCAGTTGGTCGAAATGGCATATCAACGAGTCAAGCAATTCGATAAACTGTCATTCTTGTATTTGATTACTGGTGATGTCCCCAAACTGAAAAAGATGCTCAAGATTGCTGAAGCTCGTGGTGATACCATGTCACGATTCCAGAACTCAATGTATTTGGGTGATGTTGAAGAGGAAGTCAAGTTGCTTAAGGAGGTGTATCAATGTACGTGTCAGTGTCTCAACATTTGTTCTTTTTCCGCTTGGAGTTTTTCTTTCGCTCCGGACACCAGTTCGATGGCGAAAAATTGTTCATGACAAGCTTGAATTGCGCTGACCCGGACTTACGTCTTTAGTACCATTGGCCTATCTGGCTGCTCAAACTCACGGGTTGACTGAAGAGGCAGAATCCATCCTAGTAGCAGCTGGTAAATCCGACTCGCCACCAATGCTACCGCCACATGCCGACCTCTTGAAGCCACCAACTCTCATCCTCCGACAAGGAGATCAACCATGGCCCCGCCTCACAGTATCCAAATCCTTCTTTGAAGGAGGTCTCTTCCAAAAAGAGGGTGGTGCATCCAATGCATTATCCGCACCCAATATAGCTCTAGATGAAGAAGCTATGGACGATGTAGGTGGTGATTGGGGCGATGATTTAGATATACCTGAATTGAATGGAACGTCAGATAATAAGAAACATTCCATTTCTAATGGCGCTGGTAATGCAGCAGCAGTCGGTCCAGCTGGTGGTGCTGTGGAAGGAGATGGATGGGATTTAGATGGTGAATTGGATATACCGTTGGATGATGTTGCTCTGCCTGGTGTTGGTAGTGCTGGACCAGTAGTGTTTAGTCCGCCTACGCATGGAACTAGTACCAATGATATTTGGATTCGTAATTCGTCGTTGGCTGCTGATCATGTTGCTGCTGGGTCGTTTGAGACTGCTATGCAGGTAATGCAGGTTGTAGCGACCATTCGATTCTTTTTGCTCTCACGAATTAGAGAGCACTCGCAAATCATATCTAAAGACTGACATATTTTCTCTCGTTTTCTAGCTACTCAATCGACAAGTATGTGCAGTCAACTTTGCACCCCTCAAACCACTTTTCCTATCAATTTGGCAATCATCGCGAGCATATATGGCATGCAATCCGTCTACCCCACCATTAGGATTCCCTATGCATCGAGTATGGGATGAGGATCATCGTAAATTGTTGCCATACTTGTCAATGACTCTACAATCTGTCGTTGCACGAGTACAAGATGCATATGGATTGACTACTGCTGGTAGTTTCAGGGACGCATTAGCGGCATTCAAGTCTATCTTGCAATCTGTCTTGTTGTTGGTTGTTGGGAAGAGAGCTGAGTTGGATGAGGTGAGAGCGTCATGACTTCTTTGCATGGGTTTTTATTTGGCAGGGGTTAACTTGACTTCTTTTTCTTCTTAGGTTCAACAATTGATTACTGTATGTCGCGAATACATAATGGGTCTCAAGATTGAATTAACTCGACGAGAGCTACCTACGGATGATCCACCTAAACGGGCCTTAGAATTGGCAGCCTATTTCACACATTGTGCACTACAACCAGCACATTTGCAGCTAGCATTGAGATCCGCTTTTGCTTCCGCATTTAAAGCCAAGAATTTTGCTACAACAATGATCTTTGTTAGACGATTGTTGGAGTTGGCTCCACCTGCTCAGATTGCTCAGCAGGTAATTATCATGCTTTTCCTGGTTATTTTTTTGCTGATTTAACCTATTTTATCCTTACGTCTAGGCACGAAAAGTGCAAGTATTATGTGAGCGAACCCAAACAGATGAAATCGCCCTAGACTATGACCAGTATAATCCATTCGTTGTATGTGCCGTCTCATACACCCCGATATATCGAGGTTCACCATCATCGCCATGTCCCTTCTGTCAAGCACAGTACAAGCCAGAGTACAAGGGCAAGATGTGTACTGTATGTGATGTATGCCAGATTGGTGGCAGTGGGACGGGCATGAGGAGCATGGTTGAGCAACGATAAAGTATTGGGCAGGTGGAGAATTAGGGTTTTTTTGTGTTGAAGGTGTAAACGCAAGACATATATTATAACGTTAGGGTTGAGAGGAGTACACATGACAACATCACATCTTGTAACCCCCTTTCTTAAAAAATCTTATGCTGACAGAATAGAAAATTGTATTTGGTAGTTATATCTGGTGGGTTTTGTGTTGTTTGGTGGGGACGAAACGCAAAAAATAGTTCACTGTTGGTGCGACGATTCCGTTGTGGAAGACGATATAGACATCGCTTCATCCTTCCCCATTCATATAGTACCGTGTATTTGCCCAAGCAAAAAGTCAAAGCACGAAAAAAACGAATTAACACTCGGCCTCCAAATTCGTTCGCAAACTTCAACTACCATTTGCTTCTTAGACAATTAATAAGTGTATTTACATATTTACATCAAAGCAATATGCTAAACCAACAAGCGATGCTACAAATGTGCAAGAGAGACTGTGTGAGAAACAGAAAGCTCACTGCCATCCGATCACGGAGACTGCACAATCTGCCCATCAAACACCTGTATACCCGGTAGTGGAGCGCTCGGTAATGCTGTACTCGGTAGCGCCAACGCTGGCAATCCTATTGTATTGGTATTGTTGTTGTTGTTACTCGGCCCACCACCAGCGCCACCAGCACCCATTTGATTCCGGGCATTAGCAAACAAGAGCTCTTGTTGACGTTTCAATTCTTCTTGGGAGAGGCCTGTAGCGTTTGATTTTGAGGTTTTGCGTTGTTTATCTTGCTGTGGAAATAAAAGGTGTTGGATGTGAGAGGAAAACCGCGAAAAAAGAGGCTGTGGATAGAGAGGATGTACCTTCATGGTGTTTTGAGTATCATCGTAGACTTGTTGGATTTCGGGGATGTAGTCGTCGAAGCCTAGTGACTGTGGTATGGGAAGTGAGGAGCTGAGTCAAGCACAGTGATTCAGGCAAGGTAATCAAAAAATAGACTTGTGCTCTTATTATCGATACCTTGAGAGCAGCAATAACATGCTCAGGGTTAATTGTTTTGCGACCTTCTTTTTCACTTATTTCGTTTGCTAAGACATAGGAAAGCGTCAGCTTGATCATATGTAGATGAAATACTTTCCAAATAGGATGTACCTTCCATAGACAACATGTGTATGAACTCTAGATGCAGAATGTGTGAGCAAAAAATGTCAAGTTGTAGGTATCTGGGATCCAGCGAGTCTTTCGAGTCGCACCTGTACATATATCAGCTAGCACATCACGAGTTTCTTTCGCACAAGACAGGCCATCGGGCATCAGTTCTTGGATTAGTTTGTTTACGGTTGCTAAAGTAAAGTGATTTAGTACGGCCCAAACAGGCCATGAAGCGTAAGGAAGGAGATAGAGCATACATTTTGGAAGTGAGAGATCATCATCTGCAGCTGCTGGAGCATCCAATTCGTCGTCGTCCATTTTAGAACTGTGTTTTTTTGTGGTTTTGGGAGAAACGATGAAAGCGATGGAGGTTTGAAAAGAAGGCTCGAATCGTGGCTAGCGTCTGGGCTAGCCTACTTTTACGTGGTTTGAATGTCAGATATCTGATATGAGTCGCTTCTCAGGAAGCTCGATGCTCTGCCAGGCTCAAATACCAAAGTTCGCAAGATGTGGTCAGCTTTCTGGTTCAGATAACCAAATCTGACGCGTCAAGGAGACCTTAATTTGTTGATTTTTGAAGTAATCGAAAGTGAATTCCTGTTTTGGAACTTTGGAAGTTACCATTCTGACGCCTCCATCAATCACATCACATCAATGCTGGTGCTCAAACCGCTATCGACGAAAACCGATCATGGTTGCAGCTATGATACTAGATATATCTAAATACTCAGGTCAACGTTTGCGAAGTTTGGAGTCAGCAAACTACGCAGGAGAATTAGTTGCTTTAATTTTTAATCACTCACGGGACAGACAATGCACTCTGCAGCACTCTACGTCTATGGTTGAACTCCACGTTGTAAGCAAAATAATTGATATATTCTAACTAAAGACTCCACTATGAGCAGAGTATAGGAAACGATATATTACAGTGGTATATTAGCTGATGGTGATGCAGCTCATGTCCCCACAATATTATTGAGTCAGGTTGATGCAGATAGCTGACCTTGGTGTCAAATACAACAACAGCACCAACAGCAGCAGTGTCAGCAGAGGAACCAGAGTGGGCATATGCACCTTGGGCAGCCAGCATGGCGACAGAGTATCGTACTGCACTAGCTGCAGCAAGTGCCGTCGCCATAGCAATAAGGTAACAGAGTAAATTATTCGTGACCATTTTAATAAAGAGCAGGAAGGCATCACCAGAGGAGAAACCTGTTCCTAATTGCCAGTTCTTAAATACCGGGCGTACTGCAGAGGATAGCCTATACAAGTCACTATATGATAAGCTACCGAGGCGATACGTTTGTCGAAGCATTAGCATGAGATCGAGGTTGTCTAAAAAGTCCAAATAGTCGGTTTCCAAAGTAAATAGCTTCCAATCCAGTCGTTTCAGAAACTCCCTTTCTATAGAATTTATCTCATCCAAGCTGTATCGGCCATCGGTAAACATGCTCCAATCGGCATTGGTGTACGTTGCATCATATCTAAGTGTTTGCAATGGTTTAGAAACGATGATACCAATGTCGAAAACTCCTAGTTGACTTACAGATACTTGTCGGCAACAATAACACTAGCCAAAAATGTCGGTATGGTGCCTTGAGTTTCTAATGTTGGCTTGTTGTGTGTCCTGGGCGAGTCACTACCTCCTTCTGCCCGTCTGGTATGAAACCTTTTATGATGCTTTGACTGGTTCCCTATACAACTACTAGCAAAGTACAACCCCAACAAGAATGCAGAGCAAGACAACTGGGCGCGTTGCATGAGTTTCCGAATAAAGTTTACATCTTGGTTTTCGTTCGTCGTGTGTGCCATTTGAGCAGTGACATCAGAGCCTGAAAGCAATGATGCTATCAGCGTTGCAGTCAGATCTAAGGAGCAGTGTGAGATGGTTTGCACTTTGAAACATGGTTGATGATAATGATCAAATGATCTCACCGATTAGGCCCAAGGGAATACGAACCGACTCAGCATGAAGAGAGCTTGAAGATTCCTTTAGTTCAGACAGGAAATTCCGGTATTCTTTCAATGGGTCGGCAAGCTGAAAGAAAAGATGGGGTTTATCAGAAAAACGATTGTCTCGAAGTTTGTTATGTATTTGCGGGTCGTACTTGTCGGCCGATTTCATAGAAGCTGGCATCAGCATCAGCACTAGCCTGGCGCCTCCTGTCTCCCTTGTTCTTCTTGCCCATTTTTCTTGCCCAAAAACAAATGTGAATAATGTTGGAGTAGAGAATGATGACTTTTTGCACTAGTTTTGCCTGAACATAATTACAGCAGTTTCGCCAATACGAAATTAGATAAGTCCAAGTCCAAGTTACGTAACCTCAGTCCTCTCACACATATAGCAACACAGATTTCTGACCAAACTACATCAGAAACCCATACGATCGACCGGTGATTATCGTCCATATAGTTCAACCTTCATGGCCAATTACAGGATCTACGCCTCAACCTCTTGGAACGGATCTTTCTCATAACAAAAGGCTCTCTGGTCGACTTGAACTGGAAGCGGCGGTTATCAGAGGAATTCGTTCTAGAGGTTATGGTATAATTGATGCTTTTTGAGTTGAGAATCATCGAATGGTCCACTCTCAGCTGGTAGTTAACGTGTAATTCGATTGACATTAGGTGGGCGAGATTTTGTTCTCCAAAAACACTCCTCATGTCAGAGCTCCAGCACCAGCCCGTAGCAGGAAACCGGTTATCGCGGAACATTTGATCGCCGCTCGATTTCGCGTTACTATCATGTGGTGTCCCGATCAGCATTTTCAGAACGGTGATCCTGTTTGCCTATCATATGGTCATGCGTACGAACGAGATACAAATCATTGGTCTGGCACCAGTGGTAGTCTTACCGTTGGTATCATCAACAGTGATGGACTATCTGTATCGTGGCGCCATCGTAACATGGCCTCAACAGCAACTGGATTCTCAGACCCAGGGCTGCCAGCCGGTGCTAAACTACGATATGTTACGGAGAATACACCAGCATCTATGAAGGGACGTTTTCAGGTTCCCTAGACGCTGTTGCAGCTGCCGCTAAATCAGCCAACAAGTGTCTGGTAGTTGTCTTCGACAAGAGTAGCCAACGTCATATGAACAGCTTATTACTGATGTCGAGGTTGATAGTATGAACCTAGACTCAATTCACTTGAATGAGAACAGAGTGATGTCCTGGTGGGTATGTACTTGAAGTGCCTCTTATTTCAGCTCCTAATAGATTGCTTCACGATCTGTTGCCAGAGCCGTGGTCGTCTCAAAACCATCACCGTCAGTAAATACGATATGTTCTTCTGTTGAAACTGTTACAATGCTACGTAAAACTAAAACAATCATATCTTTAGGTCAATAATGAATTGAGGAGCACAGCCATATATCAAACCCGTCTCGTCACCTCTGTGGAATAACGGACTTGTCATTGGATCGACTAGCTGTTGAGCTGCATGTATTCGTTGATCTGGATGCAGATTCTGTCAATAGGGTGGAAATAGACCAGATGTGGAGAGGCTGTATCATTCTGGTAAAGGGATGCAAGAAGCACTCAACACTCTATGGCTCTCAAGCCATCAGTGATACTACGTGATGGTTGTGCGAGACACCACGGGAAGATATTACCACCACCACCACTAGCAGCACCAATGCCAAGCAGCGGCTTCTTCCGTCGCTGCTATTGATCGTCCGGTCTTACCGTCCCTGTTCCGTTCTTGTGAAGCGTAGGGGAATGTTATGACAGGAGAAACTCATCCAACCGACTATAAGCCTTGTACTCTTATAGTAATTGAGACTGATTGTTTGGCGTTGTAGCATCAACTAAAATTACCATCAAATCCGATTTCCGATTATCATTGAAGTATCAGTAGACGCGTTCTTGTCTGTGCTTTGGGAGTGAACAAGGAAGATTGTCGGCGAAGTCCAATTCTACAGTTAAACACAAGATTCTTGAATTGCGGAGAGTCGTAATCTGCAGAAGTCTAGTATAGTGTGATGCTCTTACTTGTATTTGCCATGATGCTCCTCCATCGTTGAACTGGTGGCATGTGCGTACTTTTCATTTTGGTTATGAAGGTGAAGCACGATCAAACCCTATGTTTACATGACGGCAGAACAAAAAACGTTAACTGTAACTGCAGAAAAATGATATCTGTCTCAATATTCTTTAACAATTTGATCCTCGTTGAGCTGGAGACGTTTGCGTGAGTTTCATTTTTCACGAGCCACACCTTTGCAATTTAGCACCACAGCCATTCCGGAAAAGAGAAGCATAGTATCATGTACTGCAAGATCACTATTTTGCCTTTGTATTGGTCCTTTTACTATGAATTCGACTTGAGACTCACTTCAAAGACACGAATTGTCACCACTTTGTTAGAAATGAATTTTGAGCTGGCCTCGTGGTTTAATCCATGATTTAGTAATACATTTCCGGTCAAAGACACTATTCGCAGCTCTATCACTTCGTGGTATGAAATTCGAACCTCAAGCGGTTTTCGTGGGCACTGATTTTTGTACGTGAAAGTCACTTTGCGAACAAGTGCAGACACAGAAAATGAGAGCAAGAAACTATCATAAATTATAATATTGTGATTTAGGACAGGTATCGCCTCTTGATCTTACGTGATGGCTGTTTTTATTTTCTAACACTTTTGGAAAACACACCCAACCCAAACTGCACCTTGTATGATGTGCGTGCCGACTATTTTGCCTACAATTGGGGAGAATCGAAAACGTGAATTCTGCGTGAATACTGCAATTTTCTGCAACGATCGTTGACGTTTGCTGATTTCCGCGTTTTTGTCACCGAAGAAAGGGATGCCGACATTCCTCTCTGGATGCTTGAGAGAAACTCGTTTATCAGGTTTGTTTAGCTCAGTTGGCAGAGCGCTTGCTTTACACGCAAGAGGTCGTGAGTTCAAGCCTCACAGTGAACATCTTTTTTGACCATCGATGTTAGCATCCAGTCTTCGCAATCACTCACCGACACCATCAAGCCTTACAAAAATGTGCAGAAGTTACCGCCAATGGCACAATGGTGGTAACAATGATAATAATGACGGTCTACCGCGATTGAAAGCCAAAAAACAATGACGTAAATCATCACGATTAGCAGAATGGCGAGTGTATTTCAACAAATAGAATAATGTAAACTTAGAAAGTGACTCCATGGTGACTCGATGCGTGTTTTTGCTGCTGTTCAACAAACCCACCATTACTACCACCGCCGTCTGAACAGCGGCTCTTGATTGTTCTCCACCATTCCTTGAGCTTGTCGCGGAGTTCTTTAAGTTTGATCGGCTTCGATATGTAGTCGTCCATTCCGGCCTGCAGACATTCGTCTCGAGCGTTTTCCATTGCGTTAGCCGTTATTGCTAGTGACAGAAGGAAGCAACGATTAGTGGAAAAATCTTTCCATCAATTCTAGTTGGGCAATTCCAGATCAATTCTGTCCAACCAGACAAGTCTGACAAGCTTCGGCTCTGGGATGTGCCGACTTCAGATTGCACTCACCAATGATAACGGGAGGTCTTTGTGCAGGTAATATTTGAATCAGTTTTCGTATATCCTGGGTGGCCTCTAGTCCATTCTTGTTTGGCATATGAACATCCTGAAAAGAGAGAGATAGCGTAAAAGGCACATTTTAGTTTTAAATGCTTTTCTTGTTCAAGCATACCATCAGGATTCTACGACGAGCAACTGTCAGACATCGTGGCGAAAGTAGCAGAGACACGCAAAAGAATCGAAACTTACAGGTCGAAGGTACTTTCTTTCGCGGCTGTTACAGCTTCAACACCATCACAGGCAAATCTTGGGTCCACGCCAATCTTCTTGAGCATCGATTGTAGCAAGTTTCGATTAATCTGAAGAAACCAGCATGACGGAATGAAACTAGTGAGACTTCCTAGTTCTTACTGAAGTTCCTTCCAGATTGTCACGAACCCCACACAATAGACAACCACACTCACCGGGTTATCCTCAGCAACCAACACCTTCATTTGAGATAGCACAGTCACTGTCGAATCGGACAACGTTTGTGCTTTAACAGTCCCAATCAATTCAGTCTTGCTTCGTGACCGCAGCGTGGAAATGGATTCCAAGGATGCCGAAGATGAGCAAAGAACCGTTGGTAAAGCTTTTGGTCTTGCCAACGTTCGCGATGGATCATTCTTGAGAATACAGTCAATGCAATAAGTCCGTGTTTTGAAGTAGTCAATGATACATTCAGGCGGTATTCCATGACTCCATAGCACATCAGGTTCAAGCAGATTCCCAATAACAGCTATAATTGGCTTGTTTGATGCGCTTTGTTTCCGTATGGCTTTCAGTTGATTTAGAATCTCAAGTGCTTTGGAAGGGCGTACACCGGAGAGATCGGCTCGAGTAACATACTGAATGACGAGATCGGGATCGAATGAAGCTACTGAAGCACGTAATGCAACACTCGTATCTTGAGCCAAAGTCCACGTAAATTCTTGTATGGCTTTTGGATTATGAGACTGTTGAAACCTGCGTCTAAGTGACGGAGCGACCATTTCATCGCCGATAACGAGTATCGATTTCGATGCACATACTCGTTCTGCAGGATCCATGATGGTTGGAAGTGGAGGTAGCGTAGGCAGAACATCTGCTTCGGTGCATGAGGAAGTCGCAAAGCAGATATGGAAGGTGGACCCTTTGCCGAGAGTTGATTCGACCCAACACTCTCCGCCCATTAGCCTACATATCCTTCCTAAAACCAGCAAAGGCTCATTGTTATATTCATCTGCAACCATAGAAAGAAAAGATAAACGACTCATTGCGTATCGAAACTCACTTGAAATCGCAAGCCCTAAACCTGTCCCACCAAATCGTCTGGTAGTTGAGCCATCCGCTTGCTCGAAAGTCTGGAACAATCGTCCCTGTGCTGATTCTGATATCCCAATGCCTTGGTCACAGACCATAAGGTGAAGCAGACAAGCGGTTTCTCGTGATTTGACTAAACAATAGGCGTCCTCTGACTCACTGTTCGATTTGTCGGATTTGAGGTTCCCCTGTAAACGATCAAGATAATGTTGAAGGATACCGACAGTCTTATTAGTGCTATGGCCCATACAATCGCGTGGGGTTTGGATGGGTTTGCCAGGAAAATAGGCATGACAGGTGACACTGATATGACCGCCGTCAGGAGAGAATTTCGTTGCATTTCCAACCAGATTCAGGATGACCTGAGTGAATCTAGTTGAGTCTGTCCAATAGTATTGTGGGAGCGAAAAGTCTGGCTCGAATAACAAAATAGCTTGTGGAGGAGATTGTGTCTCATTGTCAACGGCATTCGTAGGCGAGGTTGAAGCACCGAAGAAGTAACCATGTTTCACGGTGACTCCCTCCAAGGTCTGGTCGACAGAGCTGATGATGTCGGTGGGCGTCGCCGTCAATCTCATTTTACCAGTCTCAATCCTATTCAAGCGCCGATAGTTAGCAAATAGAGAGTCAGAGCAAAGAACAATTGATCTACATTCTTCCGCGACTCACTTGTTAAAATCTAATATGTCGTTGACGAGATTGAGCAAATGAAATCCAGAAAGTCTCATGGTATCCATCATGTTAGACTGCTCTTTCGTCAATGAGGTTAGAGCTAGCAGCTCAAGATAACCCATAACGCCATTCAAAGGCGTTCGAATCTCATGTGACATAGTAGATAAGAAATCCGACTTGCTACGGACTGCCCGCTCCAGTTTCTCTTGCAGGACTCGACGTTCTTCAATCTCGCGTCTCATTTCTGCATTCAGCCGACTCAATTCAAGGCTGGATTGCACTGCGTGAACTTGATGTCTGCGTCGTGCTCGGTCTGATTTAAGGGCCTCGATCTGCTGCGAACACGTTGATAAAAAGGGAGCAAGAAATTTGATTTGGTCTTGGTGATAACCGTTAGGATTATTGGCCAGGGCTACGAGACCAGTCAATCGAGCGCCAGCAAATAGTGGGACGGCGACAAGTTTGTGGATAGGAGGATGCTACATATATTGCATGTAAGATTTCGTAGTGTTGACGCAAATCAATACGATGAACATTACTCCGTGAGGAAGCCTCCGGCCTGCTCTTGGATCGTCGATGACATTATTCGAAATTAATGCTCGACCGGTCTTGACAACTTGACCTAGCAAATTGTCGATGTTTCTAAATTCCAATCCGTTTTCGACATTTTCCAGGTACAGTTTTCGGCTGTACTCGTCCCAGCTAATATCTGAATATACGGAGTAGCGATTTAACCAGCCAGATGCGATTTAACAAGCGGCAATTTGCAAGCACAACACGAACCCACCTGTTATGGCCAAAGATCGGAGAACGGTTGACGCTAGAAAAGGATTATCTTCTCCATCAGGTCCAATGGTTTCCGGATTGTGATCAACTTGGAGAATAACACCATACTCAGAGTTCAAAACTTCCAACAAGGTGTTAAGCAATCCGTTGAAGATCGGTGAGTGCTTGATTGGACCTTCGCTTTGTTGCAGAGATACCAGGGCCATCTGAGACCAAGAAATGGATTCCAGAAGCTTTCTCGTGCATTCAGCAGGCGACAATTCAAAGTCAGTTGGGGGAATCCTCCTTCTGGCTGCAGTCTTGCTGTGTTGAATGTACTCTGCTGGGGCCTGACACAAGTGAGTAACATCTACCTCGGCGAGTATAGGCTGATCAAAAGTCCCTTCAAAAACGTTCACTGATAACGAGTTCTGTTTACTGAATGGCACTTTTGGCGCAAGGTAGTCGTTCTCTGTTGAGCGGGCAGCGGCATGCCTTTGATCGGGGCGATCGAATCCGAATGGACAAGCACTACCCTCCATATCGTTGAATTGACCGGTTTGCTGCAACGTTCTTGCTCCCAATGGTCGCAGAATTAGAAAACCCTCCGATCAACCGGGTTTTCAACGATCTGAATCTTCGCAACGTTGCCGAATCCCCCGAAAACTGTGAAATTCAAATTGTTCGGACAGCCAAGAGCGTGGTCGAATCTTCCAAAAGTTGGAGCGATTCGTGATTTTGTGATGCAGTTAAATCCAAGGTGGTGACATGAGAGTTTAGAGCGTGAATTTTGCCTTTTGATAATCCATATCTTGCACATTCGGTTCCAAATTCACCTTCTTTGTAGATCTAGCCTAACAAGGCGATGTTCTGACTCAACATGTCGGTGGAATTAAAATGGAAACGAAGGCAATCATTTGAGCGGACTGAGTCTATTCAAATAAAAATTCCAAAAATAAAATCGGGCGTTGTTGCCATTTGCACGTTCATCAAGTTGCAACAAACATTTTGGAGCTGAGATCACAGGGTAGGGATGGCAATAGCGTTTGCATCATAGCTATATACGATGAGCCAATTGCAGGACTGGTGGTCGCTTGCTCGGGTCAGAATCTTACTGGTCCCTATTGGTCCTATTCGACGAGATACGTTTGCCAAGTATGTCGATATCTTCAACCAATTTGGAGTGCTTTCCTTGGTCGATTTGACTCCCCCAGACCCAAAATCATTCTCAAGTACGTGTCCGATTTCTGTCCTTGTAATCGCTTCTAGTCGCTTTCATTTGCAACAAACACACACATTCACCATGAACTGGATGTTTGGAATTCATTGCTGAACTGAGATACCCAATCTATTTTCAACTAGACCGTTTCACAGAGAGCTTGTTTCATGAAGGATTAATGTATTTTAACTTTGTCACAACCTACAATCAAGAACACGCTCCCTTGGAAGAGTTTGAACTGCAGAAACAGGTTATGGGTGTAAGTGTACATCACTGCTACTGTTTTCATTGAAAGGCTCTTAAATGTCGCGTATTAGATCATTGGAATCATGCACTGTCAGCAAGCTCCTGTCTTCTCTGAAGGTTCACGGAAATTTCAGCAAGTCTTGGCTCGAGTAAGCTTGTCAGTTGATTTAGTACTTCCTTTTTTCGCTTTTAACATCACATTTTCGCTTAGTACCCAGGCTGCTTGGCGTCTAGACTTTTTGCATTCGAGCCTTCTGAGAACCAGGCTGATGATACAAAAGGCATCATCATGATCCCAAACGTTGGAGACGTGTCGTTTTATCTAAATACTATGATGTCTGACTTTTCGAGCGAGATACTCAAGGCTTTTGGAAACATGGTCATAAAATAATTTGCTAGTCCTTTTGTTCTCCTCGCTCACACACGATTCTCATTGTAGGCTGCTCATTTTGAGAAGAAGCAGCTGATTGTCGCCCCGAATATGGTATTAGCAGTTCTCCAGCCCGAGTCTCCAGGAGGCAACAGTGTCAACTCCATGCAGAATTCTCCAATGCCCGAACGACCTACAACACCGAATGTGCTCACATTGTCTCGACCTCCCAGCGCCCACGTTCTGCTATCAGATAAAACATCTGGACTAGATCAAACAAATTCCAGTGCTACTGCATTTGGTGCTGCACTAGGAAGTGTGGGGGCAGCTATGGGGTCCTTGTTGGTTGCTGACAAGAACAAGCGTAGGACTCCAGGCCGAGTGTTGAAACTGATTGGAGATATTTACTTGATGGCCGGCCGACTGGATTACGCCCTTCAAAAGTAAACGAAAAAATCGAAATTGGAAGGAGCAGCATCACGATTACTGACATGTGATTTTTCCTAGCTTCGTTACATGTATAGACCTGATGAAGGCAACTGGAGATTATCAGTGGCACGCAGCAGCCTTGGATTCATTCTATTGTGCGACTCTGCTTTCATCGGTGAACAAGGCCGGCATTGGTGTATGTGCACGTCCATCAATTTTGCGTTCCCTTTGTTTGCGATTTCACTGCTGACTTGTTCTGTTGTAATTTGCAGCCAATGTCTGCCGCATCACCAGAGCAGTCTCCTGCTCGGGAAGGAAGACGTGGCCCCAAGTTACTTAGCCTGCCATCGATCGAAGATATATTTGAACAGGCCGCTATCCCAAACTCGACCATAAGGTCGTTATTATGTGAACTTCCAGAAAAGTATCGAGAAATAGTCTCGCTACATGAAAAGACCATGACGAAAGATACACAAGGCTTTTATCCAATATTTCAGGTCACAGCATGTCTCAAGATGGCTCGTTTACTCGCAGCCATGATCAAGTATCACTTTACGGGCTCTATCTTTAATGGTGCTGCAATGCCCATAACAGTAGCAGAGTCTCGAGGCCTGAGTGACATTGCGGCCTCTATAAATGTGACGAGACCTGTAACTGGCTCTGTCCGTATCCAACAGACAGCTTCAGAATCTGCCGGCACTCAACAAGTAGACAGGGAACGCATAATACTAAACAATGGTCTTGGTGCCTCTAGAGTTGACGTGTCCTCATGGCTCACCAAGACATCGACTCTCGGTTTAGAGTATCTCACTTTCTCTGACCAGATATGGGTTTCGACAGTGATTGCAAGCATATTTGGACAGATTGGATATAAACGGAAACACGCAATGTATCTTAGACAAGCTGGTCTGCTGGTGTTGACTACGCTGAAAGGAAATCTGGGTATCAGAAGGTTGAGTGGTCTTTACGAAGTGATGGGACCTGCAGGACCTCTGAATAGCCCTGACGTAACATTTCGACAACAATCAACTGCTAATTCTAATATAGTCACGTCAAATGGTGCGCTGGAATGTATGAAGAGAGTCTGTGATATTATGGGAGTGGGAGAGATACGTCCTAAAGGTGTGAGGGTGACTCAACTTTTACTCCTTTTTGCCATTCTGCTCAAAATTTATATTTTATCTGCATTTAGATGACCGTGAAGTAGACGATGACGAACTAGATGATTGGATGGAAGATTATGAAGATAGACATGATGTAGACATGTTTTTATCACAAGGTCATGATGCAATCAAGGGTCTCAAGATGCCTGTTAGAATGGCTCAACGATTGCGCCATGGATGGCCAGACTTGCAGATACAAGTGTTGAAGGAGTGTGTGGATATTGCTGATGCTTCGAGTGGTATGTCTTTGTCAACAGAATGCTTTGATACGAAGATAGGCAGTAATGGGATTTTTTGTCTGTAAGATTACCAAGGATCGATAATATTTACTACCCGTCTATTACGTCGCCTTCACTACTTTTTGAGCAAGACTGAACAATTGGAGCTTGCCTCTTCATTGGAATCTATTGTCCGTCGAACTCGAACAGAGGGTGATGACACTGCTGGCAAGACAGTTGCTCCCCTAGCTCTAGTCAAGAATGTGATGGGAGGAATTTGTGGTGTTCCAGTGTTGCGAAGCATAGAAGTCGTAAGGTATGAACATCCTTGGACGCTTAACTACTTTCGTTTTTTTGGCTTCAATAATTCACACTTTTTTATGTTCCAGACAAACACCTCGACGAGTTCCTTATCGTCATACTCGGTCAGAGATAATACCAACATCACCGATAGACCGTGCAAATCGAGATCCCTTCATCACAAACGCTTGGAAGGGTAACCCTGACGAGTCAAACAAACGTCAAGTTCTTGAAACCATTCTTGTTACTGGCGAGATGGCATATTTTGACGTCGTATTGGCCAACCCTTTTGCATTTGATTTGGACATTGAGAGTATCACAGTAACGTGAGTGACATTTCATCCTGGCCTTTTTTCCCAGCTCAAAATTACTTTGCAACTCTAGGGCACATGGTATTGAGTTTCTGACAGTACCTTTATCAACCACAATACCTGCGTACGAACGTATCCATATGCTCAGGTTGTCAGGAATACCGAAATCTGATGGCTTATTGCATATTTTGGGATGTACTGTTAAACTGTTTAATGGCTCTGTGGAGGAAGATATTCGACCTGTAGGTCACAACTCGTCTCTCAAGAGCAGCGCATCCCGAAAACATAAACAAAATGATCGTGAGAGGTTGGGCAAAGTTATACCTCCAAGTAATAAACAGGAATCAGGTCGCAAGACTCCCATTGATCCAATATCATCGAACGAGATAAGAATCTCTGTAATTCCACCACAACCATTATTATCAGCCTCATCTGCCATGCTTGGTTCTCATGGATCTCTCGCCCTGTACGAAGGTGAAGCATCCACAATCGTATTTAAATTACAAAACATATCTGCCACAGTCCCCATTGATTATCTCACAATTGCATTCACTGAGACTTCATTGGCCAGTCCCCGAGCGGATGCCGTTGAAGATCCAGAAATAACGTATGAGAGAGATGTTCATGATAGGAGTTTACGAGTGTTTTGGTTGGAAGGTGGTGAATTGACCAAGAGTGGATTGGGATGTCCTATTGGTGATACAGTTGTAGAAACTGTAGCTGTTAATCTGGTGCCGGGTGAATCTAGAGAGGTAGTCATTGGAGTTTATGGGAAGCGAACATGGTATGTGGGGTTTCGATTGTTGCAATTCGAGCGAGCAAAAAACGGCATCCTCAATTGCGATGTATTAGCTCTGGAGGCTCTCTGAGATTCAACTATGGACAAGTTATATCGTTATTATCTCCCTCTGATGGAATAGTGTCTTTACCGACTGCATCACCTTCAGATGCCGAATCGAATTTCTACACAAGAGAGCTAGTCGTCCCGGTACTCTTGACGGTCCATCGAACATTAGAAGCTCTAAGTCTTGATGTACTCCTAATGGGTGGTTTGGGCCCTGTTGAACCGTCAGCATCGACCAAGATCACTGTGAATCGTAGCCTATCACTAGAAGACCTCGTCACTGATCCTGTTGGTATAAGCGAAGAAGAGAAGGCAGTTGGTGTGATTCCTGCAGATCAACGTAACGAGTATGCACTCATCACGTTTGATTTACGGAATTCAAGTACTGCGGTGTTTGAAGTCACGTTTGATTTATATGCTGATGAAGAGAAATCGGATGTGGTTGAGAAGGGATTTCAGGTTACGACTGTTGTGCATGCTCATCAAACCAAAAGGTATGGTGTTGGTCTCCCCTTCTTTTTCGCATGTAAATCAACAACATTTGAAACACTTTAGGATTGTGTTGCCCATTAAACGGATATATTTATCTGAAGCTGTAGCTCATCAGCCGATCCCCTTCCCGGACTGGCGACAGTTTGTGAGAACACAGCGGCCAAAGTTCTCTGAATGGGAAGAACATATTCGACGGGCCTTGTTTTGGTACAAGGAGGAGCTCGTTGGTGGATTGGAAGGTCGTGGGAGAGTTGTTGGGCGTTGGTTGACTGTAAGTTCTACCATTGAATCTGCTGATGTGCAATTTTTTTCTCATGCATTCGCTTATAGTCAAAGGGAAGGCAAGGAAACTTTTCATTACGAAATGTGTACTTGACACCGCCCATGCTGTCTTCTCTGCAACGAGAACAAGTGTCTTTTCAAGCTCGAGTGATACCATTGGAAGGCAGCACACAGACAATACGGACTATTAGTAGTGCTCGATATGTGTGTCCTGTCCGTGAATGTGTTGTTTTAGAATGGACGGTGACCAACCGAATGGGTAAGTTTCAGCTTCGAAAATGGGGCAAAGAATTTCTATTAATCACCCTCTATTACTAGAACACCCCGCCAAGTTCCTGTTACGGATACAAGGGGTACAAGATCATCAAAACGGTACCTTTGAAACAGATATAACTGATACGCAACTAATGTATGGTGGATCATTAGAGTATGTCTTCCCCATGTTGGCCGCTATGGGAGGTAGTTCGATTTATCGACTACCGTGTATATTTCGTGGATGTGGAGAATACCGGTTCTTATATCACGTAGAGAATCGGTATATACCTGAAAAGACGAATGGTGCTACTGCTGCTACGAGTACGATGGCAACCAACAAACGTGTTGATGAGATTGCGTTTTGGGGCCCAGAGCCATTAGTTGTGTTTGTAGAAAAGTAGCAGTAGTAGTATGAGTTTTTGTAAGATAATATATTGGCTAATAGCATGATGAACTGGAATGGTTGATTTGTTTTGCTCGTAGCTCTGACACACACTACCGCTCTGAGCTCGAACACCAGAAAACAAAAAAAAATTGAAAAAGATGGTCGTTCGAGTCTTTTTCGACATCACAATCGGCAGCGAGGATGTGGGCCGAATCGTATTCGAGCTGTACACGGGTGTTGTGCCGAAGACCGCTGAAAACTTCAGGTGAGAAGGTAGCTAAAAAAAACATTTACACAATGTCTTTAAGCTTGGTTGACGGCAGTCGTTTTGATTGAACTTTTGGGCAAAGTCCTTTTCATGTACATTCGCCCAAATATTCCTGGAGACCTCAGCTTGTTTTGTCCGTTGTATGCCTCGTAAATCGATGGACATTAACCGCGGAACGCAGAACATCTAACACCAACATTTAAGAAATCATTAACAATTTTTTATATCATCATCATTATCATCATCATGAATTAGAGCTCTATGCACTGGTGAAAAGGGTGTTGGACGAGAAGGCAAACCATTGCACTTTGCCAATTCAACCTTCCACCGTATCATAAAGTCATTCATGCTGCAAGGAGGTGATTTCACTCGTGGAAATGGAACTGGTGGTGAATCGTAAGCAAGCTAGTCAAAGCTTTTGCTGCCACGTCTCCAATGTCGTTAAGACTTCTTCCCTATATAGCATCTATGGTGAAAAGTTCGACGACGAAAATTTCGAATTGAAGCATGAAAAGGCTGGGCTCCTATCTATGGCAAACTCTGGACCAGGAACCAATGGCTCCCAATTCTTCATCACGACCGTACCGACCCCTCATTTGGATGGTAAACACGTCGTGTTTGGACGAGTGATCAAAGGAATGGCTGTAGTTCGCAAGATGGAGAATACACCCACTGGGGCTAACGACGTACCCGAAATGCCAGTCGTAATTGCCAAATGTGGAGAGCTAGCTGAGGGAGAAGATGATGGTGTATCTAGCAACGCAGGAATCCCAGACTATCCTGAAGACTACGAAGGTGACACGTCAGAATCTGGAATGCTGTCTGTTGGATCAACGCTGAAAGCCCTGGGCACTGAAAAGTTCAAGGCGGGGGACTATAAAGCCGCTTTGAACGAGTATATGAAGGCTGTGAGGTATCTAGATGTATTACCGAGTGAATCTAAACAGGCATTGTTGGTGCCGTGTTTGTTGAATGCTGCTCAGGCTGCGTTGAAGGATTCAAATTGGAGCGTGGCTACGGATACGGCTACTCGTGTGGTTGATATGCAGGATGGGAAGGCCACGTTGTCTGATGACGATCGTGCCAAGGTTTGAAGTTATGCTTATCGGATGACAAAACTTGAAGCTTTTTTCGCTCACAATTCCTTGCTTATCGACGTAGGCATTGTTTCGACGTGCGACTGCCCTGAAAGAACGAAAAGATATGGAGGCGGCTATTGATGATCTTCAAATGGCTGCAAAGATAAAACCGGAAGATGCGCTCATCAAACGTGAACTGGTTGTTGTCCAGAAGCTCGTAAAAGATAAAAAGGATAAGGAGAAAAAGGCGTTTGCTAAAATGTTTGAGTAGGGGAATGGTAAATTATATTGCAGTAGTAGCAATACGTTACATAAACTCATTTGTTTTTCACATCGGTCGTGCGTTACAGTTCTTACGGAAATGCTTTACATGTCCAAATTCTATGCTGTCGTTTAGCGCTATAGTGGTGGCCTAATCCAGTACTTGCTCTGTGTTCTGGTTTGTGGCCACCTTTGTTAGGATAACGTGTTCCATAAAAGTCACCCTGTATACCTTCGGAAGAGAATTATATCGATCCGTACATCGTTTCGGTACAAAATCAGTATCCCCGTCCTTCCACAGAGCAAAAGGTTCCCACTGACTACTATAGAAATGCGTTTGCCTGGTGAGAAGATCGGCGGCCCAACCCTTTTATCCCGTTTCTTAGCTCCGTCCAGTATGGCATTGACAAACACGTATCAACAGTATCTCCAAAGTTCAAGTGTCTCAAATTGGGCATTGATGTGATTATGTTGGGCTGCCCAGAATAAAGTCAGTTGTCGAAGATTCTTGCACGTACTGACAATAACGTTCGGTTCGAATTCGGGTTTACCATCTAAAGTATGCAAGCGTTCAAATGGGCTGCCGCTAGTCTTCAAAATGTCCACAAGTTGGCCACGATTGGCGTCAGTAGTAGATATCGTGACTTGCTTCAGTTTGGTAAAGGGGATATGGAAGACGGGTCGGTCAAAGTATGCTATCGGAGGGATGTCAGCGAACGGGTTGGTGAAGCAGAAACCTCTTTCGAGAGTGAGACGGTTGGCTTCTAGTATACTAGGTAGTTGTTGTTGGTAATTATCTCCAGAGCACTCTAAATTGAGGGATTTAACCTTTCCACGTCCATTAAATCCCAACAAGTGGTTGGGATGCAGCTCAACTTTTCTTAAGACCAAAGACTCCAGAGACCTAACGGCGGCGAAGCGGATAGATTCAGCTTGATGAAAGTCCACCGTCCATAGATTTAATGACTTTAAGCTTTCTATTCCTTTTGCTTGAAGAGCGATCAGGACGGGTACGAGATCAGGGCGATGACCCCCTCCGATCAATTTCGGCTGACCACTAGCTAGTACCTCCAGAGATCGTGTGTGTGGCAATGCTGCTGCACGAAGCATAGTTTACGACACCCCTAGCTGAAATCTTCAGATTCTTGATTACTGGGGACTTGGCAATAAATTCGTTAAATGCGCCGGTCCCGAATACGCTGATATAGAGTTTGAGTGTATCGACTGTTGAGGATAGTGTTTGATGATCGGCGTGAGATCTCGATTGTTTCTGTCCTTTGCTATACCCTTTATACGAGTAGCAAAACAGTATGCATTCATTACTTTGGTGACGACTTTTACTAAAAATCCAGGAGTGGCAGCCTTCATTAGATTTTTGGCATCATCGGTGGTTGGAGCTTCCGCAGTGGCCGTATAATCCTTGACGAATTGATCACGCCAATCGCCGATAAGGTCAAACAGGTAAGAATCCGTACTTTGGCAATTGCATTCTGACGATATGATGTTGCTGCCGGTTGATATAACATACGGCGGATGCATGCGGCTTCAGATTGCTTCCGTCTTGCAGCTGTTAAGCTAATGGGCCGATTCTTTGCCCTGGAACGCTGAAGAACGTGAGTAACGTCAGGACATTCTAGAACAGAGAATTAACAACAGGCCAACATACCTCGCTAGTCTCATAATACAACTCATAATACAAACGACCCATAGAAATAACGTTCATGTCTTCGCAAGCTCTTGCCAAGGTTCAAGAACGCTTTCAGTGGATTTGGAACAGATGATGGTTAATAGTTCGAGAGGCAGATGCGAATCTATTGAGAAGTTGAGAAATATCAAACGAGATCTTTCGGCATGATGGTTACCTTGGTTAAGGTCTTGACCACCAACAGCTGTTCCGTTGTTACTGCAAGGGGCACGTCCACGGTATTACTTGATGTCGACCCCAGCCTAGACAAACGTGGAAGTTAGAAAGCAGAAAGAATTTCCAGGAAATATAGGCAAATAATGACTAGAAACGCTATCGAACTCCAGCTTTACCTAGTTGCATCCATCGATTTCTCTGCACCAGGAAAACAGCTTTTGAGTGTTCTGAAATTTACAGGCAACCAGGTCTCTGAGCAACCAGAGATTCAAGTCTGACCGAGTATCTTAATTTAAATGAGTCTGTTCCGACGCTTTATAGCTTGAGATTTAGATTGTTTCCTATTAGTTGGAACGCTTTAGTGGACGCAATGTGACGTGAAGCCGTAGTGATGCAACGTGGCATTTGGTACGTACTTTTGATGGCTGAAGTCTAAGAAAACCTACGGTACCGTTTGAGACGTCTATATATCACGTCTGTCCACTTTCTCTGTTTTCAACCAGACGCAGCTTTTCGCAATGATATTCGGCACTATTCGCTCAAGTATTTGTTACAGCAGAGGGTAGAAGTAGCGACAATCACGTGTATTGTATATTGCTTGACTGGCTCTGCTGCTTCTTACCTACAGAAGACCACTTTCTCGCGTCGAAACCGTAAAAGTGCTTACAGTGCTGAAAATGTAGCATCGCATCAATGTATGCAATACGCATCAATGTAATATGTAATTGCGGGCATGCTCGCTGATGGCTGTACTTGACGCTGTCCACTGCTATGCACAGCACGCCTGCTCGCCTCGGAGACGAGGAGGGAGAGACCAACACTGCTAGCCAGTCTCATCATCCGTGTTGCAATTCAAGTCACTAGTCTAGTGTCATGTCCGGCCTTTGGTCGCATTGCTTGCCTTGATACGGAATTCTCTTTTGTCCAATTGTTTGAACCCATCTATCGCAAAGACCAACCCTGGAGTGCGCTTCATGGAGAATGTAAGGCAATCGCCATTATACAATCGTAGCGGTCTACATAGTGGCCAGCATCTTGGTATGTTTCCGGTTCTCTTTCCTGTGGTTGACATCAACATCAGAATTATGCAATTTGCAAGTTAACCAACAAACCCATCTCTCATCGACAGATGCGCTTTACTCTCTTCAAGTATTGAGTGGTGCTGGCTTTACCTATGAAGGTAGTCTAGCATCTTCAAACTGTTGGATAATACTTGCACAAGCTCTTAAACAATTGAGTCCAATTGGGAACTTGGGCAGGGATTCTGGCTATTCTTCTTTGAGCCTTCGGCCTCATTGACAGCTGACTGTGGCCGGCGCTACAGTATGTGTAGTGGGGAAGAAGAATAGTAGTGATTTGAGAGTATGTTGCAAACCAACCTTTCACTTTCCGTATGATTGTTCTTCCATTCGCCATGATGTCTGGTAGACACAGGTTCATGGCATACGTAGTGTGAAAACGTGTTTGACGCTCGAGTCGAAACACCAAGGTACGATGGATTCGAACGGTTGTGACTGAGTGACTCCCAGCATGTCCGAGAAGATACCGCATCGATTTGTATTAAAAGCGTCTTTCATCATCTCGAATTCTCGAATAAACCTTCACCATATTCAGAACAGGTTTTGAGCTACTTTGATGTGCCATCGCGACTAGGGACTGAACTTTTGCATTCCCCATTTACAAAAAACAAGTTCACAATTATGCCACTTCAAAACGACAAGACCGCTGGAGGAGTGAGCATCGATTCCTGCGTGACACGAGAGAAAAGCTTACATGACGTCAATCCAGGTACAACTGCTTCCCTTCGCTGCCATTTCTGACTGTCCTTGATGCTTTGTTTATATCGTCTAGCCCTCGGAAGTCAGCATAGTGACCTCCATCACAGGTACATGCAGCCATCAAATTCCTTAAAAAATAGTTCTAAATCATTCCCTCTGATCAGATTTGTCGTTCTCCATCTCTCGAACGGAAAGGTACATTCATCAATTCTCAAACACGTGAAAAGAAACAACATCAACCCGCTATTCTCAATTAGGCAAAGACGGTCGAATATGGTCATTTCGACCCTCATCAGAACGATTATGGAACAATTCGAATCCATGATGGCGCTCAAGCCATCCATGCTTTTGTCGATGCTCTCGATTTCGACACTACTGGCAACAATGGTTATGACTGGAATGTCTTTGAAAAATGGGTCCTTGGCTCTAGTGGATATCAAAACACTGCTTGGAGCCGCGAGCATCAATCACAAAGCTTTATTGATACTGTTCTTGCCCATTTGAAGTCACGTAGGTTCCAAGCTCGTTTTTGGATTGATGAAGATGTGTTTTAGAGTCTGGCCAAATGAAGCGTGGACTCTATTTGCTACGAAATGATATCGCTACTCTTGCTCACGTTGCATTCATTGTGGTTTTTTAGACACCAAACCTGCTGCTCCTGCCGCTTCAAACGCACAACCTTTGAACGTCAAGGCTCCTGATGCTGATGCAAATGCAGTGTTTGATGGTGTCAAGGTTGGTTCGAAACGACTAAATGTTTATATGCTGCTGATGATGGTTTTCTTTCCAATTAGCCCAAGGTTCTACACAAAATTCAAGAAATCCATCACAAAGATATTGTACATCACACTCATCTTTCCCAAGATGTACATTCCAAGGCGTACAAAGTCGTTCAATACGCAGTGGTCGAGGTGAGTGACCTGTCGCAAACCGAACTGCTGTCTTAAAGTCGAATGATTCAGCTTATCTTTACTTTAGGCTCCCTTTGGCTTCCAATACTTTGCAAAAGTCAGTATTGGTGATGTCAACTATGTACATGCTCGAGCTCACAAGTTCCATCAAGGTAAAGACTGGCTTTTTGATCTGAAACCGCTCGTCCGTTCTTCTTGCGATAACTCTATAACATTCTCAGGAGGAACAGAGTTCCACTCTTTGTATCTTACGCGAGATTCTGCCATTCTGTCCAAGTGGGTTTGCCCTCTTACAAAAGTTGATTTTTGGGTTTGATGCTAACTGCTATCGAACTAACGTGGTAGGGACGCCCCATTGGTATATTTCGATGAATGATTGTATTTTGCAGTCCGACTCGCCTTGTAAAATTCAAGTACAAAGGAAGTAAGCTGTGTAAATTCCACATTGTGCTCGAACTGCGACAGCGTTTTGTGGACGTGCGTTCCTGAGAAAGTACCCGAGTATTGGATTGGATGACACAGCAGTAAGTCATTTATCTGCCACCAGATGTACAGATCAGCGCTTTTTTTTGCAATGCATCGTTCGAATTCTGCTTGTTTGAAAACTGAACATTTAAAAGTTTTTGATTGTCGTTTTGGACGCTACTCGTTACAACATTCTCATCACGAAAAGAAGCTGAATTATTACAATGGATTCTAGATACTCTCATTGTATTGTGCTTGACTTTGAAGCCACATGTGATGAAAGCAAAGCTTTCAGTCCCTCAGAAATCATTGAATTTCCTCTTGTCGTCCTGTCAACAGACACTCTAGAAACTGTACAAGAATTTCATAGGTATGTTCCGGATGTGATAATATCTGTTTCCGTTGAGGTCAGATTTGATCCATGCGTTGGATCGTCCATATCGTATTGCTCTGAATGTTTTTGCCTTCCTTGATAGCTATATCAAACCAACAAGAAACCCAACTCTGACTCCATTCTGCACAAACCTGACTGGTATCCTCCAAAAAACTGTAGACTCAGCACAACCATTCGAACAAGTGTGGGAAAACGTGCTGCAATTCCTGACGGATTTGTCTACCACTACTACTTCTTATAATCCATTGGTAATTACATGTGGAGACTGGGACTTGAAATCCATGCTTCCTCTCCAACTATCACTATGTGGTATAAAATCCGTACCAGCTGAATTCTCACAATGGTGTAATATCAAACACATATATGAACGGGCTTATGGTGGTAAAGCTATGGGGATGGATAATATGCTATCGAAACTGAATTTGCCGCTAGTTGGACGACATCATAGTGGTATTGATGATGCTAGGAATATTGCGAGTATAGTGAAGAAGGTGATTCGGGATGGGCATGTCGTTGATGTTACGTTTAAACCGAGAGGGGTTGGTAAAGATGCTGCCGCTGTAAAGAATGGAATTTTTAATAGCGTCAGTACTCCATCAAGTTCGTCTGGTATGGCGAGTACTGGAAGGTCTTGGAGCTCTGTAGCATCTACTAATGTCACTGCCACATCATCGGAAACCCAATCTACATCTGTATCTACGTCTCAACCATCTGCGTCTAAACCACCTTCTAAACAACCGAATAACAACACTCCAAAGAAACAACCGAGAAAGAAGGAGCCAGCACCTGAACCGCCGAGTTATGGCAGTGTTGTCGACATTGGCGCTAATTTGACACACAAGTCTCTTAAATCCATGATACCAGACACACTGTATCGTGCAGCAGCTGTTGGTGTATCACATATAATACTGACTGGTACATCTGTGAAGGGGTCTAGAGAAGCAGCAGCACTGGTCAGACAATGGAAGGGTACTAAAGGCGTTCCTGATTTGAGTTGTACTGTTGGTGTGCATCCTCATGATGCTGGAAGAGCTGTTGAGGAGGGAGAGTATGTTACAGAGCTGAGGAGGATTGTTGAGGTAAATGGATTGATTGACTTGTAGTCGGTCAAGAAGTCTCGGAAGTTGCATTTTTTCTTGATGAACCTCATCAAAACTCACTGCAATATCTCTCTTAACAGGAAAACCGAGATATCGTAGTCGCAATAGGAGAATGTGGTCTAGACTATGACCGCATGTTCTCAACAGTCGGTGATCAAGACACCTTATTTAAATATCAACTGGAACTGGCTCAGGATTTCGATCTACCTTTATTCTTGCATACTCGGTCCGCACATACACGTTTTGAGAATATGTTGAAGGAGCATGCTCCGCGGCCTGCTCGTGGTGTGGTGCATTGTTATACGGATGAGCACGTGGATAGGATGCATGAGTATGTTGGTCTTGGCCTACATATTGGGTTTACTGTGAGTGCGAAAAAAATTCACTCTACAGATTTACGATGAAGCTCACAGTTCACATGCTCCCCCATCTCTATACAGGGCTGGATATGTGATTCAAGACCTGGTAGAGGAGATAATATGGAAGATGTGGTTAAAGCTGTGCCATCGGATCGATATCTGGTAATGATTTGAATCAGCACAGACACAAAAAACTGCCACCTCATCGATCCAATGTATTGAGTTATTAGGTCGAAACAGACGCTCCATTCCTTTTACCTCGTAACAAACCTGGCAAAAATTCAGGAACTTGTGAGCCACACGATATTGTCTGGGTTGTAGAACGACTGGCCGAATGGAGAGGAACTACTCCGGAAGGAGTAGCAGCAGAAACTACTGCCAATGCTGAAGCACTATTTAGATTCAACAAACATTCATCATCATAGATTCACCTCACTCGCAGAAGAATTTGTATGCATACATATACTCCAATGAACATATATTGAACGCTTAACGGGATGGTCTAGTGCTTCTCTTCTGTTACATTTAATGGAAGCTACAATGTTTCGCCGATTTTATTGGGTATGGAAAAGGTCAACCTTATAAGGCTCGACATCTCATCACACTTCCCAAGGGGGTGGCCCAGCGTATTTCGGCGGTTAAGACCTGGATAAGGACCCCATGAGCAGAGAGAGTTAGGATCAAACCCTACCTTTTCGAATTATTTTTTTCGAAGTTGAGACTACATTTCGGCACCAGCTCTATTTCTTGCTGTATGCGAGGAGCATACTCAAGATCAATCAACTTATTCTGTGTGAAGGTCTGGCAGAAAGAAGTCTATGTTTCAGTGATTGACGAAGGTCACAAGCATTCTCGCTCTTCTCTACCTAGGGCTGGGTCTGTGACTAGATGGAGTAAAATGGGAGATGGTGGTGGGAGTGCCATTGAATCGATATCTGGTAGTTGAACAATGAGCGGGGCATCCATCTAAAAAAAGGTGCATGCCCGCACTTCCTGTCTTCATTTCTTAGGTTGACACATATGCTCTAATCCTCCGACCTCAAGTCTGGTAAAAGTAGCGGGGCTTGTATGCTCCACGACATACTCTGGCCTGTAGAACGAAAAGCGGATTGGAGAGAGAACTACCACGCCAAAACTGGGATGTAATGGGGATCGGAATTGAGTTGCGCTATTGAAATGCATCCCCAGATGTTGGTCGGGCTGTTGCGGAGGGTGACGTTGTTGAAAGATTGTTGAGTTGGTGATTGATTGACTTGAAGTTACTAATTAGTATTAGTGATGTCTCTGTCTCTCTTGGGGCCCTTTCCGAACTCCTTTTTAGAAAAATCTGTACTTTTAACCACATGTTTTCAGCAGTCCGTGGACAAGGTGCCTTATTGAAAATACCAACTGCCACTGTCTCAAGAAGACTTGAATGGCTGGTAGTCTTACACACTCGGTCAGCACATTCTCATTTAAGATTATATTGAGCATCGAGATAGAATGCGGAAGCATGCTGGGTATAGACCCACACGGTGTTTACTTCAAGTACCAAAATTAGCGGACGTTGACGGATGGCAATGTAGAATATGTGGTCGTGTCAACGGATCAGTGTCTGATAATGTTTATAGTTTCAAATCACGTTTGGGAAGCCAGCAACAGGCTGAAATAGACGCACCATTTCGTTTTGCCTCAAAGCAAATCTAGTAAACATATTGAAAGGTGTGAACGGAGAGGCACTACTCTGAACCTAGTAACCGTAGAAACAGCTGCATATGCTAACACTTTTCATCATCGTAGATGAGACACACAAAAGAAACTCATATACACATATGTTCCAAGTACCAAATAATTTTATTACTTGTGAACACTTAATAAAGGCTCTAAAGCTTCTCGTTCAAAAGCAGTTGGTTCTGTACATCTCCTATATGCTGAAGCCATGACTTCGTCCAATAGAGTGAAGAGCAACCTTATTGAATAGTAGGAGGTGAGCGACACAAAGCAAAAAAAGGCTTAGGTAACTTGCCCATACCTGTCATCTTGGGCATACTGCCACAAATTCATACGAAGATACTCGGTATCCAACTGAGTTTGACGAAATCCAGCCTTGTTGAGCGTCACCATTCTCACCTCTTCAATAAAGCTCTATAAGGCCGCGAAAAAAGGAGAAAATCAGCCTCGGAATATCAGTCCACTTAGACACAACACATACCTTGACCAAAACCTTGACAATCCCCATCAAAATCCCACTATGAGAACCATCCACCAATCCAAAGTACTCTACTCGTTCTGAAAACAGCTTGTCGATACCCGACATGAGCTGATCAAACGTGTTTTGGTGTGTTGGTGATGGTAGAGTGCTTTGTGAACGATGCATGCCACTGGATTTATTGAAAGATGAATTTGATGCAGCTGGATGCATGTATGGATAATTGCTATTCCCTGTAGCCATCGATGCGTTTCGAGAATGGCCAGGTCTAGCCGATGTTCTTCGACCAGAGTTACCTATGACATAGAGACGAGGTTAAAATGAGGGCACCCTCGTTTACTCGAAAGTAAGAGACGCTTTTTCTTGGCCATTTTGGCAATAGGAAGCAGCACCATCAAGAGGCGAACAAATCTCTGCCACAAACGCTGTATACTGCACTTCCAAACACTTACTAAACTGACCACCCTCCTTGCGTTCCAGCACACCCTCGTCATCATACAACTGCAAGACATCTCGATTAGAAGACTGCAAATCAGACAAGATACGATCCCAAATACTGGACGGTCGAGAAGGCTCAGAAGCATCCAACCAAATGTGAACGGCAAAGTGTCGGCGAACAGCCATACCATGACCCATGCCAGCGACTTCAACGTATAATGACAATAGTTTCTATAAAGGACGTTCAGTGTCAATCTTACGTGTTCTCTCTCACTTTTTGGGTCGACGTCTTTTACCTGAGAAGTTTCCTTCCACATATTACAAATCTCACGAGCTTTTGAATTCATTTCTTCAACCGCCTCGTCTTGACCTACGACTACTGCTCGGCCACCAGTTACGACCGCTAATCGTTTATCTCTTGACGATGCACCTTTACGAGTGGGTGACGGCCTTTCTTCATTATTATTTGGTTGGAATAATCGTTCAGCATATGATTGGTACACTGAATCAACTGTTGATGCAGCAAAGTCCTTTGAGACTCGAGCTAGTATTAGTGATAATACGGGAGGATTGCTCGGTGACGATGGGACTTTTGCAAAGTGGGTCTTTGTGCTTGTTAATTCCTGTGAGAGTTGTCGAGTATCAGCAAGCAGGCAAAAAAGGACAACAATTTTGCCATGTGAACGCAATGTCTTGCCAACGTACCATCATATGTGCTTGCATCCCAAACCAAAGTTCAGCCAAGCTCTTCCGAACTTGCTGCATGAAATCATTAAAACCTTGTTGAGAGGTTTTGACAAATCCACTCTCTGGGGTGATAAAACTTTCAAGCACGGGCAGACATTCATCAATCAATGTCTTTTCAACCCATATTTCAGCATCTTGTACCAGCGTATCCAGGCTATTCTCAAATGGTTTGATGTCCTTGAGTTTGTCTAAGCGAGATAGAAAAGAGTTTAGACATTGAAACACTATCTGCTGTCGGCCAGCAGCAATCCAATTATGCTACGATGCGCATACCAAAGAAGCCTTGTTTGACTCGAGCAAAGACATCGCCAATGACTTTGCCTAGCCATCCCATGGTCAAAAGTTGGACGCGTTCATCCATATGTGCTGTTCGTTTCAGAGCTTCTGTATTAGACACGTCACTGTGAAGCTTATCAAATACTGCCAAAGCAGCAGTAGGAGCAGCGGAGTCCTTTTGTGATTCGTTAGTGATCATTCCAATATTTTCTCCACTTCTTTTGCCTCACCAAACTTGGAAGGAACCCTTCAACTATAGCAAAATAGTCACTAGTAGCCTTTTCTACCATATCCGTGAATTCCTTCCGTATAGAATCACGGGTTTCCGAAGACAGCTTAGCGAAAAACACTGGTCGTGACGGCGATTCTTCTCGCTCTAGAGGAGCAGAATCGAGACGAGGAAGCAAAAAGTAGTCTTCGAATGATTTTACGAGTAGAGCAAACTCGGCCAAGAGTGTCGAATCTAGATGTGATACTTTGGCAACAGCTAAATCTATAGCTGCTGATGAAGATGACGACTTGGTAGGAGATTCTCCTTCCGTTTTCGTTGTTTGTTGTGGGTTTAGCTGCATAGTTGACAAGTGCTTTAATGCAGTATTCTTTGATTTGGTGAATTGTTTTTGGAAGCTATATATTTGAATTTGAGAGAGTCAGCAAATAATGCCGTGTAAATAATGCCGTGTTGAATATGCTGGATATGAATACTAACATTTGCAAATACTCCTTCGCAAGATCTTGCGGCTGTTGTGTTGCCAAGCCAATGAGCAAACCAAAACTCTCAACAATGTCACCTGTAGTAGACTATCGGGGAAGGCACAAAAAGGTGAGCGGGCGGCCAAAAAGCACAGGCAAAGCTTGGGCATACCGAGTCTCGATGCATCTTGTCTCGAATCTTCTTGCCAACTTCATCCATAACAACTTTACATTCATCTTCAATCTTCTTAAAGACAGCGATATGGCGATAATGTACCAACAAGTGCGCTGTTTGAGAATGATACTGGACAGCTTGTGCATATTGTTGCTTGTTGAGACACTGTTTCAGACGTGTCGGCAGTTCGAATACAAAGTTCAACTAGGTTCAATGAGAGAATGAAAGATGAGTCATGAGAACAAGAAAGGATGTGTCGCAAAGCTAGGAAACCTTTTTTAGCAAGGTATGAACACCACTCAATTGATGTATCTTGCTTCTTCGATCAGCGAGAGAATCGTTGATCTTGGTTGAAGCTTGAGTAATCTGATCCATGCTTTTAGATAGACGGTCCATTTCAGACTCCATGTTTTCGACATTTGTCTTCATCTATTGTCAAAAGAGTTGTATTGAGCAAAAGTGTCGACGAGTCAAACCGTGGTCTCGTTGATTGCGTCATACCTTGCGAATAGAGTCAGTAGCACTAATAAACTTGTTGTAGTTTTCACAGACCAATGTCTTCATTTGTCCATCTAGGTCCTTTATTTCTATCAAACCAACAAAAAGAAGATGAGATCTAATATATGGTCGAATACCAACGTGTTCCTTGCATGTATAACAAATATGAATGCATATGATACCAGAAACCATGTCATTATCTCTTTGAATCAATTCGACGAGATTCTGTTCGTGTAATGCCTTGTTTAGAAACACTTCAGGATGGAATGCCGTTGAATCTGAAGTGACGAGAGGCCAAATCAGTAAAAGGACGAGGAGAACTGACAAAAAATATGATCAAATACAGTAACTTGCCTATATCTAGTGGATCAGGTCTCTTTTTGGCCTGTTCCGATGCAGCAAGACCATAAAAGTTCTTTAAAAGGTTTCTCGCCTTTCTTGGGCCCTTTTGAGTCGATGGACCTTCCTCTGCCATGATCTGCTTACTCTGTTGGCATATACACGCGAACACTTATCTCTAGATCACCGCCTACGTGTTCGCTGTCGGTATGATATGGGAATTTGGAATGTCAGTGTCGAGACCCAAATCTGACGTGTTAAGAAAATAGATTCAGTAATATTCAAATATTAAGGTATGAACTGCAGTCTTGGAGGAATTTACAGGAATTTCGTAATTTGGCTCTCTGACGCGTCCTGGCTAGCAAAATACATTTTGAAATATTGAAAATCACGTCGAGGCATCGAAAGCTGATGCAAGTCAATGGGTTCGTTCGATGTTCTGAATCATTGCGGCTTCTTCGTATCGAGAAGTTACGATTATGTTTCATAGAGCTCACTGACAACAAGCTTCATCACTAAATGTCAGTTTTTGCATTGGTGATCTTGCGATGCAATATTCATTCTGTACCAATTATATTGTGATCTTCTTGAACTCTACTCGATCAGTCTTTGTCGCTCTGGATCAAATCACATATTGCTCTGGATCACATTCATTCACCACATCAGAGGTTGTCTATTAAAGTTTGAAAACGTTTGTGATCGGACAATGTCAACAAGGACGAAAACAACAGGTGCATGGTCACACCGTATGCGACACTTACTTCATAAGCCGGGTTTCCCACTTAACCAAACAAAGCCGATTAGTCTACTCTTTAAATCATGGTGGAGAGCATCCACAGGCAGACAGGTTTGCAACTCTGCATTGGAGAGAACTTATGCACACTTTTGAGTGCCATTTCTCAAAACGAGATGATCTGCGCATGATTGCTATTAAGTAGAATAAAACACAAAGAATCTTGTTGCTTGATGCCTAGAACGTTGAACGGGGGTGATGGTGTTAGACGAATAATTGAACAAGTTTACCAGGGCATAACAGTCTTTGCCAATTGACAGAAACATCATGTAGACATGAAACCAAGCTTACCTTCGTAGCTTGGAGAGAATGCAGTTTGGCCGGAAGAGAGCAGCCCCACGGATGGCGAGCCATCAACGAGAGACTTTGCACAGACAATACTGTTGGAGGCTATTGCTGTCCGCATTGGACATGCGATCCAGATCGTAAAGATCTATAAGTGGCCCGCCCCAGCACTTGGCTTGCTTGCAGTAATGTATGGAACATGTTCCTGAAAGCGCTGATCTCTTGTAGCCAGTGTCTGTGTTGAGAGGGAATGGGATTACAGTAAGCAAAATGTGTTTTTAGAAATTGGTGTTTGATGTCGAAACGGAAAATGACGAATACAACCATGAAAGCACTTCAAAAGACGATGCGACATACCTCGATGGTAGATCTAGTGGTAGATAGCTTTGGATCTTCTCTTAGATCTCCAGATCTCTTGATAATTGTGTTGGGAATTCATAAAAGCGGCAACCGTCTAGAAATTGGGAAGAGTGAGGATGTAGCTCGAGTCAAGGTCAATACAGCGTGGTAGTTCAATGCATATAGTAGATGCACCTTGTAGCGGCGACTGGAGGTGTCACAGGTTCTCTCTCGCCTCCTTCCTTCAGATTCCTTGTTTGGAATCATGTGACGGAGGATGCCAATTGTATAGCTATTCCAGTCCGGGCTGACACATAGCGCATAGATTCACGTGGTATTGAGTGATTTATTGCATATGACGTTGTTCTTCCTCCCTCTTGGTTCATGGATTGATAACAATCCATCAGCTTGCAACTGTTTTGCAAAAGTTTTGCAGTTGAATCTCGTCAAATTGTGATAAGTAGTAATATTAGACAACCATATAATATCATCTTGTACCAAAATGTCTAATGTTTCGTGACGCGACGTACTTATATATCATAGTTCTCGCATCGCCCTACTCCAACTCTATCGCAATATTGATTCAACTCGTGTCCTTGTTTCAAAGATGAAGCTAAAGGCGACCTTCTCCGTGATATTATGCTGGATTTATTGCAGTCCGGCATGGGCATTCCAACAACCGATTGGTATACTCGAAAACAAGAAAGGCCAAATTTCTGCTGATGTCGAAGAAGACTACAAGAAGGGACTGGATGCTACCAGAATTCGTGAATCTCTCAAGTAAGCAAAGCAAATGCTTTATTTGATGACTAGAATGTGCTTCCCTTTTGCGTATGTTATGCTTTCACTCGACATCAACCACCCGTAACATTACATTTGAAGTTGAATGGAATGTCGTTTGCGAATACAGTAGCATTAAAGATATATTTTGGATTTTCAATTAAAGCTTGATCCCTTCTCTTTCACATAGATATTATACATCAAAAGCTCATACTGCTGGAACTCCTGAAGACTATGAGCAAGCACTGTGGACAGTCGAGCAATGGAAAGAGGCTGGTATTGAAGACGCTCATATTGAAGAATATTGGCCATTAATCAAGTAGGTTCTTTGGAAAGTGGATGCATTGTCATACCATGATTCTTCTTTGAAGCTTCAAAGCTGTTGACGCGTTACACATAGCTATCCTGGACCTAGAAGTCTCAGTCTTCACAACAAGACAGACATGATCTTCAACGCCTCCCTCATTGAAGATCCAGTCGACGGCGACCCAACATCGCAAAACAACACAGCAGTACCCAGTTTCCACGGCTACGGCGCATCAGGAAAAGTACGCGGCAAGCTGGTATACGTGAATTATGGTGGCATTGACGATTTTGCAGCTTTGAAGAAAGCTGGGATTAGCGTCAAAGGTAAAATCGTGATTGTACGATACGGTGGCCAATTCCGTGGTATCAAAGTACGAGCAGCCGAATTCGCAGGTGCTAAAGGTGTCTTGATATACTCTGATCCTAAAGATGATGGGTTTGTACGTGGTGCTGTGTATCCTGATGGCCCATGGCGTCCGAAATCTGGTATACAACGAGGATCAGTGCAATATGGGGTGTTGTATGATGGAGATCCACTTACTCCCGGTGTACCTGCTCTAAAGGACTCCAAACGAATTCCAATGGAGAAGGCCAATATTCCGAAAATTCCGTCATTGCCTATATCGTATGGTGATGCAGAACCCTTCTTGCGAGCACTTGTTGGACATGGCAAGAAGGCTGCCCATATAAAATCAAGCTGGCAAGGTGGATTGGACTTTGAGTATTATACCGGACCGAGTGAATTGGAGGTTCATTTGAATGTTGAGATGGATTATAAGATAAGACCTGTTTGGAATGTTATTGGGAGTGTCCTTGGTGGTGAAGAACCCGAGCGTTCTGTTGTGGTTGGGAATCATCGCGACGCTTGGGTGTTTGGTGCTGTTGACCCCAGCAGGCAAGTGGAAAGGCAAACTGTATTTAGCTATTTAGTCTTTCAACAGCACAAAAAATCCCTCTGTCCTCATAATGGCATCATATTCTGATTTCTGACCTGGTTCACCTTGTCACTAGTGGGTCATCCGCTCACTTGGAAATGGTTCGGAGTCTTGGTGCAATGGTCAAATCAGGGTGGAAACCAGCTCGAACCATTGTTTTGGCAAGTTGGGATGCAGAGGAGTACGGACTTATTGGAAGTACCGAATACGTGGAACAATATGTCAAGTTTGTATCCAAGGAGGTGGTTGCATACATCAATATGGATTCTGGGGTGTGAGTTTTCTTGATATTGCAAGTTCTTCATTCTTGTTACCACCGTTTTTCTCCTCATGCCTATCTGACATAGTTTACAAATAAACACCATAGGTCAGGACCGTATTTTCACGCGTCAGCATCCCCATTACTAGCCAATTTACTTCGAGATGTTTCAAGGGACGTTATCAATCCACAAACTGGCAAGCCTGTCTATGATGATGTAAAAGTTTGCTCTGAGAAGAAACGGTGTGTCTTTAGTTGACTCTTAGTTCCTTTTTGCCTTAGTGGGTAGCTCGAGAACCAGAATTCAGTCCTGTAGGCGCAGTGCCCAGTGTGCGCGGCTTAGGATCTGGATCTGATTACGTTGCGTTCCTGCAACATGCAGGTGTTGCGTCTATTGATCTTGGATTTACAGGTTCGCAGAGGGATTTTGATTTGATCCAAATACCTTCAAACGTTGTTGCAGAACTAGTTTGAATGGTTTGGTCCATGAACTAACTCCTTTGATGACACAAACTTTTTCAAACCAAGGATCATATGGAGTGTATCATTCAAATTATGATTCTTTTACATGGATGTCCAAGTATGGCGATCCTACATGGGAATACCATGTTGCCGCTGCTGGTATGTGACGTGCTGTCGCGACATTGCATAGTATAGGTTTGGACGACGGTTTTTTTCGTCGTCAAACAAACATCCACACAAACAAAAAGTGCCTAAAACTTCTTCAATAGAAATCATGGGACTCCTCACACTCCGCATCGCAACATCTCCAATCCTCCCATTCGATCCAACTACCTATCCGTACGCCCTCTTGGGATACACAGCAGACATTGCCGACTTGCTGCTCAAAGCACCCCATCAATCTCTCTGGAACTCTATATCCACTCTCTTCCGCTTCAATGAGGTCAAACTAGATGCCATATACTGTGCTATAGGACATATGGATGTATCAGCTCGAATGCTAGCCAAAGAAGCCCACAAAGCATCTCAAGACACGACAATTACAAGTCTTGAAACGAGAAAGAGTATTAATGACTTGTTGGCGTTTAGTGAGCGTGCGTTTTTGGATGAGAAGGGGATTCCGGGACGGGATTGGTTTAAGCATGTGTTGTATTGTGCTGGTGAGTGCCAAAAAAGCAGATGCTCGGCTTATAACCTTCTAAGCTGTTGTTGTTTTCACCTACCAATTGGCAACTCTATAATCTTGAAAATTCACCTACTAGGATTATGGGCTGGCTATGCAGTTGAAGTGTACCCAGCTATTCGTGAAGCCATTGCATCCAATGATATGCAAGAAGTCCAGCGTCGCATTGACCGTGTTGCTACGATTCTTGAACGGGTTGCTCATGCCATGAAACCATAATAGTTGGGTGGTGAGTATTGATGTTTGCAGTCAAGATATTCATTCATAAAGATCAAGTTGTTTTTTTGCATGAATAGAACAAACCTGAAATGGATGCATTACTTTGTGTCATTTGATGCTGTGTTGCATTGAAGCCTTCCTGTTCAAGACTGTTCTGAAAATCAGGGGTCCCGAAGCGTTCAGAGAACTTAACATTTTGGAAGCCCGACATCGCTCAACATCTAGATTAGATTTGACCATCATAAATATATTATAGTAGAGCTCATGATAATTAATGCGGCAAAGCGTCATCCTTCCATCCCCAAATACAATAGAATTCTCCAACCAGTGTGCGTGTTTCGGGACCAGCATTTACATTGAGACAACAGTTACTCTTCCTCCTTCATGCCAAGAATACGAATGTATGTATCTGATTTTATAGCGTATCCCCACTCATGTAATAGACAGTCTTCTTGACGAGCACCGAGGTGTAATGAGGCAGCTGCGAATAGGCAGAGTAGATTACCAGGCTTAAGAGTAGGAATACCACGGTATCTGAGGATAAAGCAGTGTGTACAATTAGTGTTCAATGACAGATGCTGCAAATACAGACTAGCTATGTAATCCTCAAGCACTTACTGAATGTAGTCTTTTCCCAGCCCTCCAACATGTATAGACCAAAAGTGAGTTCATATTGATAGTTTTTGAGCCGGATCCACTCGCGGAACTCTTTCAGCATGGCTATATATAAAATTGACCAAGATTATTATCAGGATCTTGTTTTTGAAAATTTCAGGTGAGCAAGCGAGGAAGTCGTGACAAGGACTTGGGGACGAACTATATTCAAGCTGAAGCTATATCAAACGCTATCTGGCGCGTCAACTTCCTCTTTAGATCAATAGATCAAACCAAACCTTGTTGTGTCAACTCTCAACATCAACTGTTTGACTTTGAAGCGTACACGGGCACTACGAACGTCTAACAATCCTGCCTATACACTATGATGAGTGATTCTGATATCGAAATCATACAAACTGCACCACCACCGCCAAACATTGAAACCACATTACTCCAACAAGCTGCATTTGGAGTATCTTACTACTGGAATCGTGCTCAATTCGCGTTAGGGTCATTCAACTGGTTTGATCGGTGAGTATCAGGGTTATATGTGGTCGTGGTGTGTTTGGCTGGGTGTGAAAGTGTCAACACATTTGCAAAATTTTGGCCTTGCTTTTTTCCGCAATCGCTGGAGACAATTTTGATCCAAAGTTGATGCAAACAAGCTGCTTAACAGTTATCGTCACTTTATACTCATTTACGTATCAATGTGTTGACAAAAGACGTACCAAATCACACACGAAATCTAACCTTCCATTGCACACATAGCGTCGACACCCACGTAATCCTCGGCGCGCTCCCACAAGACACAGACCTAACAGAGCTCACCAACGCCCCCCTCAACGTATCACACATAATCAACATGTGCCAAGAGACCGAAGGTGTCGAACGACGTGCCAAACTATGCGGTCTAACACACTACCGACTACCATGTCCAGATTTCAATGTCCCGCCCTACGAGCATTTGGTTCGAGGTGCCGAGATACTGAATGCGGTGGCTGATAAAGGGGAGACTGCGTTGGTTCATTGTAAGGCTGGGAAGGGCAGGTCGGCGAGTAAGTCTGACCAATTCATCGGTAGTTTGGGATTTGTTTGACTAGCTCTACTTTAGGTGTCGTAATGTGCTATCTTGTAACCAGGTACCAGCTAGATTTAGAAGGAGCGCAGAATCTGCTGCTGGAAAAGAGGAAGCAGGTGGAACCAAATTTAAAGGACGCTATTGCTATCAGGCTATTTTACGAGAATTTGAAGAATAAGGATGAGCGGAAGCCATTTGTATAAAGGAATAACAATTCATGTCGGATATATTCGTATCCGAAAATTACCTCTTCCCTGCTAAGACCGTTCATCCCCCATCATGTACACTTCATACGCTGCTCCATATCAATGGAATCTTGTACTATGATACCATTACCAATAATTTAAACACATTACACAAACTCTGCTGCACCAACACATGTTTTTTTACTGAACTGTATGAGGGCTGTGGTGTATTTTTCAGGGATATGATTGTACAGCAAAATTATGAAGCAAAACAAAGAAGAATATGCGAAACGATTTCTTCAAACATGACTCGGTGGACCTGACGAGGCAAAGTAATTTGTCGCTGCACTTTGAGCCAAGTTTGAAGTCGTTGGATTACTACAAAAGAAGGGGTGATAAGTTATCGGAGTCGTGATATGAGGTAATTCCAGGTTTCTTTTTTGTTCTTACCTGACACCGATAGCTATCGCTTCGTTCTTCGCACTCTCAAACGAGTGTCCTCCTGCGCCGAATATAGCATATACTTCACGCATCGTCCATAACGAGTACGTGCCAATGAGAATCCACAATGCCATTACGATTATGCATACAACTCCTGTTCCCACAGCACCTCCTGTTATGGCTCCCAACATATTTATGAAACCTGCAGCGCCAGAGCCAGGGATCCCAACTGCCATATAGTAGCAACTAGGAGTTTGATAGAGCAAGAAAAGTTAGACGAGTCAAAGCTCAACACTCCTTGAAGAAATCTGACTTACAAGAGGATATGACATCCAATAAAGATGAAAAACACAAAGTAGAAAAAGGACGAGTTTTTGCTAAATGCCAGATACGCGGGCCTCCACCATAAGAAGAAGCTTCCAGCAGTGATTGTAAATATGTACACCTTTTGAAGAAAAAAAAGAAAAAAAAGGAAGTTGATCAAAAACTTGTTTCAATGCTGGTGGAATCCGCTGGTTTTTTTCGTTCAAAACCTACAAATGATACTCCAAAATCAGAAGCAGCTCCAGGAAGTCCAGGTGGGTGTGCAATTAATATTCCCTATTCAAAATCATCAGAAATGGTTGTGAGGACAGAGTGCTTTTTCATAGTAGTGATTTTCTGAATTTTTGGCATCTTCCGGTTGAAAACTCCAAAAAACAAACACAACAAAACCTCACCAAACACGCAAACATATTCAAGATCAACAACCCTTCACTCGCCAACCACAGATAAAACACTTTTGTAACAATTCTACGATGCTGTTCAGGCACATCTTCCTGGATATCATGATGCACAATCGGATAAAAGGGTGGCCAGTTTGGTGGTTTGGCAGACGTGCCTACACGTCTCAAATACTCTTGCTGCTGCTGAAGCGTTCGTTCACGAACTGCAAGCTCGGCCTCTTTTCGGCGTAAGATTTCTTCTTTTTGGGCTAGTGAGTCTGAGTCGGGGACGATAAGTGAGTTGTTTATTGCAAACGCATACAACAGCCAAAACAAAAGAGCAAAACAATAAACTCAAATGACGTACCAGTCTTTGTCGAACTCAAGTCAACACCAACATACGAGCTATTCGGAAATGCACCATTCGTAGGCAGCACAGGTGATTCAGGACTCCTCTGTGGAGCAGGTGTATAAAACTGGAGTCCGGCAGATGGAGCTTGTGTGAATGGCGTTGCAATCAGTGAGCTTCGAGTGTTTGTTCCGAGGAGTGTTGATGATGATGGTGCGAGCTTGTAGTTGTCTAGGAAGTGACGAATAAGGTGTTGGATTAGACTTGTCAACTATCCCTGTTGAAATGTGTGCAGTCCTTTCAACTTTTTATGTTAGTTGGGCTTGTCAAGAATGAAAATGGAAGCTCTTCTAGGCTATTTATATCCGGTCTGCAGAGTTTTTGTTCTTCTTAGTGTTGAACGCTGCCTTGTTGTGCTTGACAACGTTTTGACCCTCCGATTTTGAGACTTTAGATAACCAGCTAACAGAGACAAACTGCTTCGTCTGCATGCGTACCTGCGAATGGATCTTCATCGTCGTCAATGATGAAGTCTCCTCTTGAACTCATCTTGGAATTTCAACTGGTTTGTTGAGAGTGTTTGAGTTGGTGGATGGTCGTTTGTCGTTCAAACCCTGGTAGGCAATCTAAAAGCCACTGCTACAACAGGATCAAGCTTTGGAATGAATGTACCGATTCATATGCGTGAAGTACACCATAAGAGCGTGTCGCCTTTCCGCTTTACTCCACAATCGCGTCGAGATCCGACAACGATCACTGCCACTCTATACCAAACTTGCCTTCACAATTTCGGCATCATTAGTATTGCTATACGATGTTTTCGGCATTCCATTAAATAACTTATTTACATTCCAGGTGCCTTCATTTCCACCATCGCAGTCTTCCACCATTCACGATTAAACCGATTTCCAAACATGGATCGGAATGCTAGTGTTGGTGTCGATGGTACTGCTTCTTGTTCATTATCTTCTATAGGGAAAGCAAAAGGATAAAAACTTAGTGCGAAACTGCTCGAATAGACTTGGCATCATACAGCGAGATGGTAACTTACTAGATTCAACCTGCTGACTCTTGATAAACTCGACAAGAAAGTCCAACGACATCTCCTCCTGCAGCACCATCCGATTCCCTTCATCATGATAACATGCCGCAATCAACGTAGGGAATAAGACCTGTGCCAAATCAGGTCTTATAAAATACTCGAATGGCAATTCTCCCAGTATTTGCAACACTACTGGACGTTGTCCAAATCTTAAAACCGATCTTCCTACTCCCTCGGGCTCTAATGCGGCTGCTCCAAGTAACAAGATGAGTTCGTGTAGTAATTCATCATGTAGTTGTTTTATGTGGTCGTCGGTACATGTCGGGTACCAGTTGGCCCGATACTTGAGCCAAAATTGGATTAGGTGGAGGAACTCGGTTCGGTGCGGGTGTGGAGTTAGATATGCATGCAGTGTTGGGAGTGATATGGTGGCTATGTGGTTTAGTGTTTGGAGGGCGTGTATACCCATTGTTAGGAAATCTAGTGGGAGATTGGTGGCTGCTGCTGCTCTAGCTGATCCACCATGGTATCTAGAATGAGAGTACAAGCACGTGTTAGTGAATGCAATGGAAGGCCTGCCTGCTTCTTCTTTCTTTTGGGTCATAGGTACAAATTCAATACTTACAAAAGAAGAGCATCCAACATGGTAATAATCCCAGCCAAATCAGTACTTGCAAATGTAGATGCCAGTGCCGGCGCGGCACCTGTATTTGGCTTGGCAGCATATAATGGCAGCTTCCATAGACTAAACAGCGAGTCAAGTCAGACAAGGCAAAACATGGCTTTCCTCATAAGCATCAATGCAATGCAATGAACTTACTCCGTATGCTGGAAACACGTCAGCGCTTCCATAAACACCATACACCTTTTTACAAATACAAATTGAGGTGCATCGACATCTAGAGGTCCATGAACTACCAACAGAATGTTGTACAACATGTCTACAAAGTCCAATGCGAGTATAAAACTAGAAAACAATATGTTAGATCAATGAGCCAAAAAAACACTTGGGACGGCTGGACTTACTTGATCATTTCATCAATAACTTTAGCAGCTACACTCCCAAAGACACCATCAGTGCCACACTTGAGACACGAGGCAATGAACTCGAATAGCTCTGCACTAGCCAACAAGCAGACATCTGAGGTTGGATTACAGACTGGCAGTAATCGAGACAGTAGGTCAATAGCTTCTATAGCAACATCTTCTCCTTCTGAAGTTAATACCAGTCGATCTTTGCTCGGTGCCACTGACATTGCAATGTTGAGAACACGAACAGCCGGTATAATCAACCTGTGTCACGATAAAATTTACAACAAAAACGAGTAACAATGTCCAGAACTAACCACTTACGTTGGTGGCAAGACAGACCAACCGTGAGCATCCTGCGTTCCAATAGCTCTACAAATCCACGTCAAACAACCGTTTGAACACAATACCGACAAATCATTCGGATTCGTCACATCAATAAGCCTTATGACATCTTCCAAAGCCTTGATGCAATTCGTAACAATAGCCACTCGTTCTGTCTCTTTACTACTATTTGCACCAGTAGCAGAACTACTTCCATTACTAACACCACTATACAGCACTACGAATTTCTCAAGACGAGTGGCAGATTGATCTAGTGCATGGACCAACCCACGATTCCGCTGTGACGAAGGCGGTAGAGCAGGTGGTAACAATACTATTCCTTTGGTCAAGTCTTTTAAACGTTGGCGAATCTTTTTCAGTCGTCGTTTAGTTGGTTTGTCTCTCTCTTGTATACGACGTGGTGGCGGAGTGGGGGACAGGAGTGATCGGTCTTCTGATATCATAGGGCGTCGGAATGGAGATGGTGGTGCAGAGCCGTGAGTATGATCAGCGTTTGTGTCATCATCGTTGAACTACAGATGTTGAATAGAATAAGCAGATGAACCTTTCTTAACCCTGTAAATTCGGTCACAAGATCAAAGGTCCTACCTCAACATTACATTGAAGACACATCAAATGTCTCTTGTCAGGAGTCCTAACGGCAGAAACTCGACTAACAACTTCTTCAGCTTGTCGATTCTGTGCTGCGGCTCGCTCCTTGACATTAACCACAAACTCTTCATGTCGTTTAGACACCTTTTCAAGCTTTTCAGTCAACTCTCGTCTCTTCTCAGCACTTTCAGCCTCTTTTTGATCACGTTTCAGTTCAGCACGACGCATTCTTTCATGCGTAGATCCTTTACGTCGTTCCATTTCTTGACGACGGACTTGCTCTGCTTTTAATTCTAGATCACGGCGTCTTTCTTCTTCTCGTTGAATCCATGCTATCCGATCTGCTTCTTGAATACGTCGTCGTTCTAGTGCTGCTTCTTGTAATGCAGCTGATTCAGATAGACGTCTAAGACGTTCATCTTCTAGTTCTTGAAGACGAGCAGAGGCTGTTCCATGTCGTTGTTGCACTTCTGCTTTTTTACTTTCGTTGCTAAAACGCATAAAAAAGGTCATTGAGATCGATACGTTGACGAATATAGATCAAACGCACACTATGCTCACTTGAGTTCTGATATAAATGCAATCTCGTTCTTCTTCTTGTCCTCCTCTTTGGCCTTTTCCTTGATACTCTTTAAATGAGACTTGCGTAATTTTTCAGCCTTGACTTGCTTTTCATCAATGATTTCTTTTAATTGTCTCTTTTGCTCCATTTGAGTCTGCTGTCGTTCACGTACAGCCTGCTCAATCTACATTTGGAGGCTCTTTAGTTCGAGAGTCGAACAGATGACAAAAACATCGGGAAATACCTGCACAGCTTTGGTACGTTGTTTCTCAATCTTGTCATTCAAGAAGGTTTCGCGTAATTCTTGAGCTTTGAGTTGTTTACGTTCTAATTCTAGAGGATCTTGATTCCGTTTGGGAATAGGAGGTGACATGATTCTGAACTCAAACGGTGGTGGTGACAAGGTGTTTTCGCTCACCCTAAGAAATGAAGCATGAGTGTTTTGTTACTATTCTCAACAACAAGTAAATTGGTAACAGTGCAAAAACGACCACATACAGGTCTGCCCAACTCATAGTTCGTTTACGACGTCCGGTTTCAGAAGTTTCAGTACTGGAAGGTAATCGACTAGCCAATAAGAAGGCACGTTCACTAGCACCTCCGTCAGCAGTAGAAGTAGATTCCGAGTCTTCGCTACTCTTTTTCAGAGATTCTGAGTCTTCGCTACTCTTTTTCAGAGACTCTGATTTGGCCTCAGGATCCATTACAGCGTCCCATAGCAGACCTAAGGCCGGTGGAGGTACGACAGCTAATATATCTGACTTTGTTACTAGACCGCTTTTGACTATTGATGCGAATGGTGTTGGCTGTGGTATTTGACTTGGCTGTGGTTGGTGCTGGATATGCTGTTCTATAGGTTCGGATGGTTGTGATCGTGGTTGAGTGGAATCAGGAGGTGTCAGTCTTGTTACATCAGCCTTGAGTAGAGGTATAGGCTGAGGTGATTTTATACCAGTAGTGGCAGATAGTTTTTGTTTGAGCTATGAGGAGTTCGGTGCATGACCTAGTCAGAAAAATGCCAACAAAAAGCGACAAATGAAAGTCTATGAGTATCAACCTGATCGAATAGTGCACGGTGTTGGTCCAACAACTCCATTACACGAATGCACGTCTCTAGATTTAACTGCTCGCTGCATTGCCGATTAAGATCAGTCAAGGTTCTAGCAAAAGAAGGTCGACATTGGATTAGCTTGGAGTGTGTCCGTTTTCTCTAACTATTGCACCTACTTGATGAGACTATTCAAAGATGGCTGAGTAATGCTCGCTATTGAAGATCTACTTGATCTAGCGGTTGCATCGGTAGAGGCTGTGGACAACCTTGGGAAGCCTTCAGCGGGAGCGACGAGAGGAGCTCCATATCGTTGTGATGCTTGTGTTGCTGTCTTGACAGCATTACGAATAGGAATAGACGACGGAGTAGTTTTACGAGTAGCGACAGTAGATGCTAGTTGTTTAACGGGTGTGGTTGTTGCTGTTGCATCACGTTTTGTTGGTGCATTAGAGGATGGTCGTTGTTTAGGAATTGGCGCAGTTCTGGAGGTGGAACTAGAGTCAAGGGCCCGTCTGGAAGCTTGTAATGGTTTAACTAGTGATATTTAAATGTGATTAGCGGCAGATCTAGTCCACGTTTGCGGTTGAATGACAACTAATGTATTAATCCACAATGTGAGATGTAAAATGTGTACCTGGAGTAGATGAAGTTGATTTGGGTAATCCGCTACGGTAAATGGAAGATCTAGATCTATCTCTAGCAGATCGCATAGACTCTGGAGCTGTATGAGCAGCAGCAACGGCAGCAGCAGCAGTTGCATTAATTCGTCGTGTTTTCTTTGACTGAATAATGGTCCATGTGTCTTGATGCACATCCGTTGGCATGCTAGGATTATGATCTATATTATACATGCCATCTGATGGAGGAGGCATCCTCTCCACAGACGTCATCATCGTGATCGTGACGCCTTCACAGTTCGTTTCAACGCC